CTGTCACTCAAAGCTAGAATGATTGGTTTGTTGTCCTCAAATAAAGCACATACAAATGTTTATTCTGCCAAAATAGCTGATAAAGCTGACTTTGCTATTGGAAAAGCAGTACAAATAACAGATGAAGATTAGAATACTTATTTGTATGGTGCTTCAGCTTGTTTTTGCCAGTATTACATTAGTCTCTCAGTCAACTCGCACGCTCTCTCTGCTGTTATCTCAGAACTGCTGGCTTGTTTCCGAATAGCCTTTGACCTTACAACTCACCTGACTGTTGTGAAATGCCTATTTGCCTATTCCCCTTAGATAAGTTTAGGGATGTGCACAGTTCCTTCTAAAAATAATATTAAATACATTAAATGTGTTAATACAGAAGTATGCTGATATAAATTCATATGTTAATGGTATATCTGCAAAATGTGACAAATCAATAACATTTCAGAATGGCTAAATATTCTGCTATATTTTCATCTCTACTCCGCTCCACAACCATTTTCCACCTGATAGCCATTTGCATGTAAAATTAATTTTCATACTTGATTGTCCTGTGATTTTTTTCCTGAATTACTCTTCACAATGAATAAGAACTTCTATTTGAGAAAGAGTAGTAAAACCCTTGGGCTACTGTTCTTCCTATGTTTGCAGCACTAACCATTATGTTTTTTAAGCTTTTTGTTTGTTTGTTTCAGTGATAGTATTTTCAGCTTTACTTACATCATAGAACAATGAAGCATAGGTACTGAGCAGGCTGTATCTCCAAGAGTACCTGTAGAATCCTTTGTTCTATTGCTCAGAAATATGAAACCTGAAACCCACAATGTAAATGTCACACCAAAGTGTAATTAAAAGACAGGTAGATTTTTAGCAATTTGCCTGTGAAGTTTGACATTCAAACAGAAGATACACTTTGATTGTGGAATATCTGATCTCTACTACAAGTCTTTTGTTTTGGTGGTAAAGCATTTGTTGTGTGTTTCACCTGTACCTTAAATAATTCAGGAAAAGAGATGTTTGATTTTGTGAATTTTGTGATTCAGCAACTTTGGTTTTCAAAATAAAAATGTATGATTAATAACATGAATTTTCACTTTTTTTTTTTCTTATTTTCAAAGGTGGTTAGAACAACTAGGATGCTGGCTTTAGGAATCAACCTACCACGTAAAACTATTCTCTCTTTAGAGAACTCTATTTACTTGGATGCGCCAAACTAGGGACAGGTATGGAAATACATAATCAACATTTATACTGAACATTTGAAATTCATATGTATGTATATGTACATACTGCACACAATTATAAATCAACATGTTTTCTTATATATAGTTGCCTGATCACCTGCAAGAAATCCTAGTCCAGCATGTAAACATCCAGAAAATGTAAAGGGAGGTTTCTGGATGTTCTCTGTTTGGCTCAGGTAGGCTGTATAAAAACATTAAGCTCTGCAGCCTGTGTAAATAATGCTCCAACTGAATTTTCCACTTCTCGTCCTCTCACGGTTGTAAGAGCCCGTGTTCTGTGGTGTTGACTGTCTAGAACTACTAGACAGTGTAATATGTCTGTTTTCTTTCTATTAGTTACTTAGAGTGCTCATAGGGTTCTCTAATCAGGAGAAATAACTTCTAGTACTTCTTCGGAACGATGGAAGAAAGAAAGCTGTAGTGCTAAGAAAAAAAAAAAAGTACTTTATACTGCAGAAGAACAAAAGTATATAACTTTTTATAGCTGCACCTTTATCTCTGTTTCATTTCTCATTTCTCTTTATATTTGCAAGATAATGTTTGTCCCATAAGGGAAGAGAAGATGGGGGAAAAAGACACTCCTTCCTAATCTTTTACTTCACTTTCTCCCAGACACCTCTAAATCATTACTGTACAGCTAATAGCTATTTACTAGCAAATGATCCAGTTAGAATTTTTAGAGATTGATTATCTAAGGTATTTTTCTCTCAAATGTTTTGTCAGCAGTGAAGCATTCATTTATTTCCTTCAAACAGCTAAAAGCCTTAGAGATGTTAAAACTCTACTTTTTATTTTCTGTGCAATTTCTTATCAGAGGTAGATCTGTTGTATTTTTTTCTGTAACCAAATAGATTATTTCTGTATTTAAACTCTTGTGGCCACAACATCATATTGGGGCACAAATATATATCTATGCAAAATTATTTTCAGGGTCAATGGGTTTTCAAATAAAAAGCCATTTAGGTTTAGCACTTAGTAACTAGCTGTACTGGTTGCTACTGCTTTTACTGTCCATAAGCTTTCCAGCTCTGCTAATTTGCTATGCACTTCACTGTGCACGTACATAAAAAATGCTGAATGGTGAAAAGAGATTAAATGTGTAATGATTAATGCTTTCTTTTTATTTTCTACATGCTTTAGTTTACATATTTGTGAAATAAGGATAAGGTTAATGTTATATTTCCTTTGGAGGTTAGGAATTCCGCATACCAGATACTAAGTTTTGAAGTTATAAGGAGTTACTGAAATTTGTTTGAAAGGCGGATTCAGCCTAACCTCAGATACTGTGAGGGACCTGAGTACACTGATAGGCTTTAATTGGCCTTACCAGCCTCGCCTGGTGTCTAGACCTTTCCTCTACCACCACTCCCTGCACACCTCCCACAAGCAGGAGGTTCCATTTAAGCTTCAGTGTCTTGCACCTAGCTGATCTTAGTCCTTAGTCAGATCCTTAGCTGCTCTTAGCTTCTAAGCTATTGCTTGGCTGTTCTGTATTGATCTTACACTGGTGAGGTTACTGCCTGGCCTGTGGCATGTTGCAATGTGTCACGTAAGCCTGCCTGGTGCTGCTGCCCTGGCCACCTATGCTGCTGTTCTTACTCTTCAGACTGATTGCTATGTCTGTATTCCAGTGAATTTCAATTATTGTACTTGATTTGATTAGGGTATTTCACATTTTCTTCTAGCTGCTCAGAAACTCCTGAAACATAACTGTAAATTATGTTTTTCTGTGGGTAATTCTTGATGATGTTCCAGAAGACTTTGCTGTACCATTAAATGAGTGCAACAGTAAGGTAGAGGTGAACTTTGGCCAGTTCATATTGATTGTTTCTAGAATGGCTGATATGAAAGAAGAATATTCACTTTACCCCTTCATAAGTTGGTAAGTAAATAATTTTATAAGGAAATAGTCTGTGTAGTGCCATAAAACTGCCATAGGGATTACGGGAAGATTTGGAGGACCTTTTGTGTGCTTGTGTGGGGAAAAATGAAATTTGGTGTAATATCAGACTTGATGTGCCCTCATTCTCTTATCATGGTTATTCTTTATGTAATCAAAACCTGTTTACTTATTGTGTCCCTGCCCAGTGCACTAATGAATATTTGCTGTTATTCCTGTGTTTGCATCCCTTTGACAGACTTTTTTTTCTGTGATTGAAAGAAAGTAAAGCAGGCTCAGTGCACTTAGTCTGTACATTTGATGCATATTGGGATACACACAGTATATATAGAAAATAGCTAAAATTATTCATTATAGAATAAATATAACTACTTAAGGCTGCTTATTGACCAGATGTTTGACTTCTTAAGGAAAATGAGAAGTATGTGGCTTTTTTGTGTGTCTCTGCTGCTAGCTTGCTACAGTGAGTTTGAGGGTATTAGGCAATTTTGGCCAAGTTTTGATAATGTGGGGAGGTATTATGTTCCTACAGCTGTTGTAAAGGAGCTCACCAGGTAAAGCAAAGACAAAGATGTTGGAGCACAGTGATACCCTTGGGAGAAGAGAGCATTGTCCACCAACTAGTATTGTTTAAACCAATCTTCAGCACTATGTGATTGTGCTAATGTAAGAGGAGTTCCTGTCAACGTGGAATTGGTGCCTTGTATAAAGCATGGGATAAACTAACCCCTATTTGGAAGGGGTTACTGAGGACCCATTTGCTGTGATGGGGGGAAAATAGAGAAAAGACAAGGCTTTTGTAAGTTACAGATGATGAAACTCTTTGCATGGTATATAATTTCTAACTTTAAATCTTTTGTTACTTTATTCCTAACTCACCTTTATGTACTACAGCATAGAACACAACCAAAATAGATTATTATTGACAATGGTATTTTGGACCTTAAATTCCTTTGAATAAAAATGTCCAGGTGTAGCATCAAGTTCATGTTTTTGGTGGACTATTCACTAGTGCAGAATACTTTGTGTTACATGTGGAGATGTAACATTACAAAACTGTTTACATCTATGTTACAACCTTTTGGTAAGTACAAGTTTTTGAATAATGTGATATAACAATATTATTCAATCATTTGAAACTTAAAAATGCTTTACATGAGCTTGTAACATTCAGGTAATAATTAAGTGCAACAGTCAGAATACAGTCAGAATATGGTAAGCTGTTTTCTCAGGCCATGCACCACACAACCGATGTTAAAGCTACAAATATTCTTGTACTTCGCTCAGAGACTTGATAATCAAGACTGAAATGTTCTGCTTCCCACCACTTCGGTCTCTCCCTCTTCCACAAAACCACTGAGATCCTCTTCTAGTGCCTCACATATTCTTCTAGAAAGCAGAGTAATTTGTCCTAGCAGAATGTGCTACAAACCAACTTCCAAAATCCCATTTGAATTGGTAAATCATTATGAGCAGATCAAAGTTGCTAGAGACTGGGAGAGAACAATTTGTTATTCCTATAAACAAAATAGAAATATATCAAAATGTAGTTGATCCTAAAAAATGGGGCTGAAATATTGGATATTGAAAAGCCATCTAGGATAATTAGTTTCAGTAAAAGCATGATCAGTTTCACTGTTGACGAAGTTGAGTGAGAAAACACAGGAAACATACTAATAAAAATCATTGGGTAACTCTGAGTAGTTTCTACTTTAAAACTGTAGTTTGTTCATAGTCATAGTGTCTCAACACTAAACAAATAATTTTTCTCCTATGTAAAAGCATTTGTATGCTTAATTTTTCCTTGCATTTTCCAGTGTTTCTCTAAGTGAACTCTGAGGCCGAAGAGGACTGTGTTGTGCAGGCACTTAATCAACCATGGCAGAATTTCTCAGAAAAGCTGAAAAAGGTCTAATGCTAAATATAAAATGAATCCAGAATGATTTGCAACATACCAGAACTGTCACTTCTACTTCTCACTGGATTTTAAAGTATGTATTTATAGCATGAAAGCAAATACATTTTCAGAGAATTTTGAAGTAACTCAAGTACCACAAGAAATCACAGAAATCTTAAAGATCAGTCATGCCTTTTAATTATTTTTATCTGAATCATGTTCTGTGTGGATTAAGATTGTTTGGCAGTTACTGGATAGATGGCTTTGGGCATAGTAAAATATACTTTGGACTAAAAAAAAACGAGTCACTAAAGTGTTTAGTATTAGTCAAATACTTGTATTACTCCATTAAAGTAATTTTAAGCTTAAATTCATTTATATGGATCAGGACTGTGGTGATTTCATTAAATTGTGACTGACTAAACCCTGAAGTGTGGATTGTGACTCACTGAATTAAACCTAAACCCCTTCAATGGAAGAAGGCTCAGTGAAGATGGGCAAAATGTGCCCACAAAGCTCACAGGCTAATGCAGGTGTGACAGGCCACAGCTGCTGCTAAGAATCTGACTTCCCTCAACACATAGGGGACCTTTGTGAGGGTAGCTTTTGTTGCAGATAAACAGCTATCAACAGTTGAGTGCTTTAAATATTTCTTCTCTGGTTCATGAGAAGAGAGTGAATGTGGCCCTGAGTTAGCCACATCAGTTTTGGGGGAAGGGAGGGAATCCGTGGCTCAGTAGAGTATTAAACACTAAACTAGAGAAAGAATTTCAGAAAGAAAAAAAATAGGTTTGAGCTGGTTTTAACCCATGGATTCCCTCTTGGTAACAGAGGATATCTCATGTCATGTCAGTGAGTGTATTATTGAGACTGGTATTGTAACTGAAATGTGTATTGCAGTTGCTATATTTTTGTTAAGCTTAACTTATACTTGTAATGTATTTTCATTACAGCCTTCAGGACAAGAATTATTTCTATTCAGACATGCACTAGTCTTTCTACTGCATGTAGTGAATCTACGGCTAGGTTCCAAGGCAGCTGACGCACGACTTACACAGTATTTGGGTTTATGCATTTATTTTAAGGAGAGAACTGAGCTTAGTTTACATAGGTGGCTCCTGACGGCTTCAAGGAAGTGTTAAGGAATTTTTATTGTACCCCTTGAGGCAAATTAACAATGTTTGTGGTTAAGTATAAGGAGATTGAATAGGCAACGCATTGGACAGAGTCTTGGTGCCGTAAGTGGTTCTACAGGGAGTCTACAAAGATGCGGCGCAAGCAGATTCTTTGTATACACTTGTGCCAGTAGCAATTCGATTGTTAGAAGGCAATACTGTGGCATTTCTAATCAGCATGAAAATCTATGCTCCCTCATATAAGGTTGTACCTCTGGTGTTCTGCATCTGTTGTTTAACCTGAGTCTGGAGTTAGGCCTACCTGCTGCCAGGTCATTTCATTGCTCTGTTGTGAATTGCCATTGCTGGGCAGTTACAGTTTGAATTTTCCCTTTTATAAGGTGTATCAAGTTTTTTTTTTTTTTTTTTTTTTTAGGTCCTTTTTTCCAACTTTACTCCTTTACTCCTGACTCCTCTACCCCTCCTGAGCCCCTGAGTGGTGTATAGGGCACAGTAGTGGTTAAAGCCAGGACATAGCAGAGAAAATGACACTTCCTCTGCCACTCCTCCCTCTTCATACTCTACCCATTCTTCAGTGTGAACCCTCTCCGTAGGCTGCAGTTTTTCAGGATAAAAGTTGCTCCAGCATGGGCTCTCTATAAGCCACAGTTCTTTCAGGGCATATCCACCTGCTCTAGCATAGGGTTGTCCATGGGTAGAGCTAGTCTTGATGTTTGTACTAGTGATTGCTTTTTTTTTTTTTTTGGTTTTGTTTGTTTTTTATTCCTCACTCTGTCTGTGTGGAGTTTTACCCTTTCTTAAGCATATTTTCAGAGAGGTGGCACCAACTTCCTAGGAAATTAATGTCTGTTCTGCCTTTCTGTAGGATGAGAAGCAGAAGATCTAAAATACACTTTTCTCAACCAAAATGCATCATCCAAAGGGTTTCAAACCTGTTGATAAATGATTTCCCATATAATTTGGGCAAGGAAATATTACCAATTATGTACTAGGGCCTTACCTACAAAAGAAAAAAAGTATGCTAAGGAGAAGGAGCAGGGGCTTATCTTGCCAAGCTAAACAGCATAATTACAACATTACACTGGAGCACTGGAGATGTGCTACTGTACTGAAAATGAAACTTTTCTCCTGCGTTCCTGATTTTTTTTGTGGACGGGTCTCAAAGGAAATGTGTGGTGTAGAAAAGACCTTTAACCCATTTTTATGGCACATGTTATGTGTCAGCTGTCTTCCAGGGAGGCTGTCCCAAAATTGCCTGAATCGAGAAGGAGACTACTTATGCATGTGTAACCCAAAGGGTTTTCTGTGCTGTATTCTGCGCAAGCATCTGTCCTAAAGGCAGCCTGGGCTTCCTGCCTTGTGCCCAGACAGTCTGATGCACAGATTCCAATTTCTGAAATGTTTTCTTCAGCAGTGCCTAGGTACCCAAGTTCCCTCATGAATTGAGGCTTCACTATTTTCAGTGTTGGATTAGGGATCTAGTGCTGCTCCTGCTAAAAAAGTTCTTTATGTGGAATTTCCTACTGGTAGAAGAGTAGATTGTGGTGACTAACGGGTGAGAAACAGGAATTAGTATGTTCTGCACTGTACTTTGCAAAGCTTATAAACAATTTTCATAAGTAACACGGTAACAGCTCTTGCACCCTTATCCAAAGCTGCTTGGATCTGAGAAGCCTAATTTCGCTGCAAGCTGAAGTAGTGAGATATGAATACTGCTTTGCAGTGCTGTGTTCAAGGACACAAATGTCCGGCACCTCAGAAACGAAAGGAGAAACTAGCAGTGGGGACACTTTGAGAACAGAAACTGAAAGCAGATGGGATGGGCGGTGGCAGTGCCTTAAAAGAGGTGTGCCAGTAGGTGCAGTGGTGAGCAGGGCTCTGCTGCAGATCCCAGCCCGGCAGGGCTGTCTTAGAGGCTGCGTGTAGGGTCACAGCTGGGGCAGGAGGTAAGGCTGGGTTCACGGTTAGTTTTGGGGCTGAGAATGGGACTGGGGCTAGGACTAGGGTTTGGTTTAGTTCTGGAGCAGGGACTGAGTTTAGGCAAGGTGCCGGAGCTGTTGCTGGTGTTTGCATTAGGGTTACAGTTGGAGTTGTGTGTTGGACTAGATGAGATGGTTTGACAGCATATGAGGAACACCAGGGAAGAAGGCAAAAGAGCAAGGGGAGAGTGTCTGAGCCAGCCAGTTGCTCCTGCCTGCACCATGGCCCCAGACACCTTGGGTGGCATATTTGGGGGGTTAATCATAATTCCTGCTATCATGCAAAGCATAAACCAAATATGTAATGGTCTTGATAGTCTTTGGTAAATTTTAGCAATGACAAAAGCTGATGTTTTCCTTATAATTTATAGAAAAATATTTATTTAAAAACAAAAATGTACCATGGGAATGCTCACAAAATGCTTTCTGATTTTTCCTCGAGTTTTATTCCAGTCTGAATATGTAGTAGATAATGTAGTGGTTCAAGCCACAGAGCATGCCATATTTCCTGAAATTTGTCTCTTGATTACTTACTTAGTTTTCTTTTTTGGATACAGAATCAAGATCTGTGATGGATTCTGCAGAAGATAATTTCAAGAAGGTTGTTTGTGATACCACAAATGGAAGTACGAGTAAGGATGATAGTGATGATATGGATAGCGACGTTATCGACAGTGAGGAAATAGGCTGCATTTCAACAAAGAAAAACAAAGAGGGTGGGAGTACAAGTGACCATGATGAGGGGGATGAGACCAGTGACAAGGCAGAAGCAGCTGTTGTGCAGATGCTTAAAGAAAAGGAAGACAAAGAAAAAGAAGTTGAAGACCCAGATTATGGTAAAGCTTATAATATCCTGACCACTGAAGAAGTGGCACAGAAGGAATCACAAACTGAAGGCAAAGATTTCAGAGTTCTTCAGAATGAGTGGGATTCCAAAAGCCCTGGTGAGGAGCTGCTGTCCTCTTACTTTTTTGTCCAAGTATTTTATTGCAGAATCTGACCTTTTGATTCTTTTATAATTAATCAGTGGGTTATGGTTTTATCAATAAGTGTATGTGTGGTTCTTTTAGAAATCAGAAAGCATCTTGAATTTCTGAAGATTTTGAAGCTACACGTTTGGCCGTCCCTATCAAGAGCTCGGTAAGTACAGCAGGGTTCACTGAAAGAAATAGAATAAAAGGTAACAAAAACAGTTTCTATGAACCAAGTGCACATCAAAGGGTATTATTTTTTTAGTGCAGCTACATTCTTGTCGCCTAGGTTTGTGGAATACTTGGAGACATAAGCATATTTAAGATTTAGTATTTCCCCAAGAACATGAAGTTTGTGGTTCTCTCTTGGGCAGTATTTCTCATAGAACAAACCCCAGTAAGTGCAGAAATGAACGAATGGTGTCATGCAATAGAAACCTCAGATGCTACAAAAGTATTCAGAATTGTAATGGAGACTATTGCTTACACATCCAGTAACTGAAAGGATTACAAGCTATTTGGTTCTGAACTTAGATCTGAGAAAGATGGCTTTCTATTGATTTAATTCATATATTTCATATATATTATGAAATGAATATATATATATATATATATATATATATATATATAATATATATATAAATGAATATATATTATATATATATATTTCATATATATATATATTCATATATATATATTCATATATATATAATTCATATATTTAATGTATAGTTGATTTAATTAATAAAAACATTTATTAAGCAAGTTATTTTATAAACTATCAGAAAACAAAACAGGCTTCTCTGTCTCATGTTCCCAACTGTCTTGGAGTAACATTATGTACACACTACTTTTTTTTTCAGGTATGTCAGTTTGTTAAAAGACTTCGTTGAGTCTGAATTCTTTGTGATAGATGGGGATTCCTTAATTCTTATGTTGTTAAATGAGGAAGTACAGTATCTAACCTTATTCTACCGAATTGAATGCTTCTTGCAAGACTTCACTCAAAGAGGAGCAAGATATATTGTTGTTTTCTTCAAGGTAATGAACAACTAACTTTTTTTTTTTTTTTTTTTTTTTTTTTACACTGTTACACCTTTAAAAGCAAATGCTTGATTCTAATCAGATTCAGGAAACTTCAGTATGTCAACAAATAAGGAGATTTGTGACATTCACCTTCTCTGGAAAAGTTTTAGAAATTCAGTAGCATTATAACTCATACATTTTTTTGCTGCACAACTTGCCATTAAATGTACAAAGAATGACAGGTACCTATATTGACCTGTAGGAGATTTTAACCATGATTTTCTTGATTCATTCAAAGCTGGAATCCTACAAAGTTATTTATAATTATTTTAATGGCTTTGCTTTTTTTTTTTTTCCTGACATGAAAAAACCTTTGGAAAGAGGGAAAGCTCTCTAGAAACCAAAAAAAGTAGATCTGCGATGAAGCATACAGGGAAAAATAGAACTGGGTAGTAATCATACTTTGCAAATGTGGTATACTTTTGACAAATAGTCAAATTAGATTTTAACAAGACATCTTAATTGTTAATTTCTCAGCTTTTGAGGTCTGATCATACTACCTCAGTGTTGTTTTTTTTTTTTTTTTTTTTTTTGACATAGTTTTACATTTATTTACATACCTATATATTGTATGCCTATATGTAGCCAGATATATCAATTGCATTTATATACCTGAAAATAATTTTTGGTTGAATTTGCTTGACTTGACTAGAGCAAAATTGCTAACAATGTACAAAGGAATTGTAATGATGTGATATAAAATAACATGATGTTCAGAAACTGTAAATAGAATTCAAATATATAAATACTAGCATAGTATTTATGCAGTCTGAATTTGAATACGACTTGCTGGAATGTAACTGAATACTTTCATTGTTCTCATTTGCTACAGGATGCAGAGCAGATGTATTTTCGCTATCCTCATTTTCTTTTCTTACGTACTGCATTAATAGAACACCTGAAGCACAACACACGCACTACTGTTCATACAGAATTTTCCAATTGTTTATCACCAGCATGGGAGGTTTTCCTGAAGAAAAGCTATCCTTATTTCATCATTGTATCTGACATAGGATTGACCTCTCTCCAAACCAACTATTTGACTATTTTTATTGCTCATTCATTGTCAAAGAAAATCACTATTGTACTTGCTTCAGGACAGGAATGTGATACTCTTAGAGTTTATGGGTATCATCTTCAGAGTATGGCGAAACACAGGTTATTTTTTCAAAAGGTAAGTTTCACAACTTCTTTTTGGTTTTCAAACAACTTCTTTTTAGTGTTAGTTCTACTTAGTGGATTTAATTAAAATATCTGTGTGAATATTATATATATATATATATATATATATATATAATGTTATACATAATATATATATATATATAACATACATATGTAATATATATATGTTATATATATTAAAATCATAAGATACTGATACATGGCTCATCTGATGATGCTCCAAGAAACATATCTGACGGTCTAAGAAACATGTAGATGTAGAACTTAGTAGTGTGGTTTAGTGGTGGATGCTCAGTACTAGGTTAGAGGTTGGACTAGATGGTCTTAGAGGTCTTTTCTGACCTGAATGATTCTATGATTCATCCAATGATCTTGAAAGTTTTAACAAGAAAATACTGTGATTGGTACACATTTTTAAGCCTTAATTGACTTTTAATGTTATGGAGTAGACTGGCATTTAAAGGAGTTTAATTTAGAATAAATGTTTATGGGATGCTGAGTTTTTTTTTTTGGTGGGTCTGTGTATATGTGTGTGTATGTGTGTGTGTAGATATATACATATATATATATATGAGAATGGTTTCTGTCGGTGTCTGTGGCTAGTAGTCCCTGAGGCATTGTATTTGTTGACTTTTGCATATCATTTGCCTTCTGCACTTCTTAGTATGAAAAAGATCTGCGATGTGTCTGTGAAGCCATAGTCAGGTACAAAGAACCATCCCTGTATCTGTATGGACATCTCAAGCTAAGCCTGAAAAGTGTACAAGAAGAGGTAATTTTATCCTTTTTGCATTCTTTTCTGTTTTCTTCTCAGATCAACTGTCTCTCTCTATTCCTTTAACTGAAACTCTGTCCTAGCCAGAACTGGGGGCTCTTTTACTTATCCTGAAGTGACACCCTGAGAACAGGGAGGTTCCCTCTGTGCCCACTCTTCGCAGCAGCTTGAAGCTTGCTCTTCCTTTAAGGTTCATTTATGTAAGTTCATTAAAGTAGGACGCTCCAGCTGGAAGCTGGTGGGATCTATTGTGTCAGATATTTTCACCTTAGTGACTGCTTTTGTCTTGTAGAAGTTTGGAACTAGCTTATTCTTTAATCTAGTTCTACAAAACTGTAACCTGAAAAAAATGTTCACATGGAATCATTATCACCTTTAGTGCATAACATACAATAATATACCCGTACCAGTTTCCTGAGCATGTTGTGACTCCATGTCTGCTCCTGCTGAGAATGATAGGAGCTGTTGGCTTCCTTGGACTTTAAAGGGATTCGTGCTGGTCCAGCAAGCTGAATTTTCAGTCCAGATAAAAATGCTGCTGCTCGTAAAGCATTTTAAAGTCAGTAGAAACACAGCTGCCTGGCAGCTGCTGCTGCTATTTCATTTTATTATAATTATCTTTCCAGAGGCCAGCTCAGTAATGAGATACACCGGGAGCAGGAACCCTTCGCTGCACAGTGATGGCAGACAGCTGCTCCCTGCAGTTGGGTGGCCGTGGAGGCTCCCTCAGGGGTGGTGGGTCAGTGCCCCACAGCCAGGGCCCATCCCAGTTCCCAAGCCAGCAGCCGGGTAGCTCCAGGCCCAGGCATCGGACCTCCCTCTGGGGACAGGGACAGGCTGAGGCTGGGCCAGGATGTGGGTCTTTGAGGCTTTGGGCACCTGGAGACAGGCCCTGCCACCCTGCTGTGCTGTTGCTGGGATAGGGACTGACAGCCCATGGGGACCTGGGTTCCGGGCAGGGTATGGGGAGGCCCAGGGGCAGTCAGGGCTGGCTGTTGGTGCCCCTCATGAACCTGGCCCAAGGGAGGCAGTATTTACTAATGATTATACACACTTTTACTTTTGAGTTTCCAAATCTTTTATTTTTATTTTTCCCATTCTGTGATGGTACTCCTTAAGGAATAAAACTTGTCCTTCATTTGGTAACTGTTATTATAGCAGTAATTTGTGCTATTAATAATGTTGTGATTGCAGGTTTGCCGGACTATCCCTCTGTTGAAACAGCTGTGGCCTGAAGGATCTGACATTCGGCGCGTAGTCTGTGTTCTTGCTTGTGCAGTGGGGTTAAAAATATACAGTGATATGCTGACAAATGCACATGCTTCCAGGGGAACAAAGACAGAGAAATCAGAAAGCGTAAGAATGCTATATATCTTTTCAGCACAGTGACTTTAAACATTTTGCTAACAGAAGAGATGCTTCTTCCAGATCCCAAGCTGAAGAGAGGGTCAGATGCTTCATTTGATTTCACCTGTAAAGGGACTGGTTCAGATAATTTGTGGGGCCACGGATTCTCCAAAGTAGTGTGGTGTGTCTGAGTGGCACTATCATCCCTGCAGCAGTCGCTGTTCCTGGGGAAAGTTTCTCCTTACAAGTGACTAGTTCCTTGGGAAGTTTTACCTTAGAAGATTGTTGTGCTCTTTATTTTTATTTTCCTTATGTTATGGCTTTACAGTAGAATACACTTTTCCTCAAATTAGCAAGACAGGGTTCCTTCTAGATGAAGAGAGTCATGATATAATTTTTGTGACTGTTCTACAAGTCTTTTATTTACCTCAAGTTAACACAGAATCAGTATATCAATAACTTTTCTAGAAAGGCACAGGAAATGATTTTAAAGTCATATTCTTTTCAGAAAAGAGATTTTTTACAGTATAAGTGATCTGCAGCTACCAGCACTACAAGAGTGTTCATTTTGAAATGTGTGCACAGAACTAATTACAATGCACAAATTATTTAAATAAATCAAAATTATTAGCTGCTTTAACAAAGTGAAAATCACAGAATTATGTAGAGGCGAACACAATATTTTACTGAAGGATGTGGTCAACTTTTCTTCTGTCATCTCTCAACAGGGAAGAAGTAAACCACCATCTCCAGAAGCAGCAGCTGACCTCTGTAGAATGCAATGTCTTACAGTGGTTTTTCTTCTTCATATGCCTCTTTCTCAGAGAGCTCAGATTAGGGTTATGAAATCCTGCTGGACTAAGCAAGTTTTACCAATAATGAAAATGGTGTGTATAACACTGTCTTACTTCTGTTATCTGGTACAGTTATCATTTCAGTTTTAGTTTTTCTTGGTGAATTGCTTTAGTAGTCTTAGATCAAAGAATCACATGTACTTGCTGGAAAGAAACTTCATCTGGTTCTGGAATCATAGTGAGCCAAAAATCAGTGGGACTAAGAGAATGTTTGAGGTAATATCTCTGTATAGTTGACCTATTTTTAGGCTTTTACCTAATTTTAGGCCAATGTCAGTATTAGGATTCTGGGCTTAGATGGACCTTGTGATCTTATCCAGTATGGGAAGTCCGATGCCAGACCTTCGTATTATTTGAAGTCAATTATTGCAGTGAAGAAGATCTAGAAGTGTGCTACTTAACTCTTTCGCTGATCACAGAGAAATAACAACATGTTGATTTTCATGCCTATAAAAACTGAGGTAGTTAACCTTATTCTGGAGATGCTTTGGTCCCTCCGCATGAAAAGGTGCTAAATGAGAATTAATTGTTTGCTCTGTTTTAACAGCAACAGTTGTGTGTGCATTTTGTTCTGAAAGAGCTAAGTGATAAAAATGATTGGAAACTGGATTTAACATATCTTCCTGACCTAAATGATGAGTCACTGCTCAAAAATCTTGCACATTACTATCAGATTGAATACACTAAAGGTATTTGTCTTTGTTGAACACTTTTCTTTCTTACATTTCTAGTTTTATTAAGATGCAGAGTAAAAATGAGAATTTGTGTACAAGCATAAATCAACTTGTATTGATTTAGTACTTGTATAATAATTTTGTCGAACAATAGGGATTTTTTTTTTCACATGCAAGTCTAGAAAATCACACTCAACTGTCTCTCACCAGTAGTCATTCACAATACTTTACCATGTCATATCTTTGATATACTTACGCAGAGGAAGCATAGGTAGTACGAGCTCTGGGTCACTGTTATTGGGTATTCTCAACTGTTTGTTTTTTAGCCCATATTCTATCCATTTCATTTTGTCTTAGTTCAGCATAGTCAGAATGGAGACTAGATTCTATCCCTAATATCGCTGACATCAGAGATCTATTTTTTGTTTGTTTGTTTTTATTTTGAGATATTTTTATTTTAGATTGAGATAAAATTGGTTCAGACAAAATCTGATATTATCTTGTAAACACATGAAGTTGAGAGCAGGAACTTCAAGAACATCATTGTATGTGTTAAGATTCAAAGGAAAGCTACAAAAGCTGACAGAGCAAGAGAGTATGGAAAATGATTTATACCAAAATTTATTTCAGAGTAATTCTGTTCACCTGACATCCTGTGGTAAGCACTGGCAGTTGGTCTGTCTGATAGTAAAATACAACTTTTTCTGTATAAATCAAGTCACAAGGTGTCCTGTAGAGAAGTGTCGAGATTTTTTTAAACAAAATATAAATTAGAAATAGGAGACAGATTTTTTTAATGATTCTTATTGTTTATTAGGCACCAAAATACAATTCTGAATTAAAGATCTTACCCTGAAGAAGGTGAAGGTGAGAGAAACCCTTCTGTAGCTGTGGAATTTGAACTTCCACAGACAGTATGGTATTCTTTACAAAATAAATTTTGTCAGCATAATTAGTAATTTATACCCTGGACTACTAAACACTGAATGTATGGCAGCATATCCTAATTTATTGTAATGTCCAGAGACCTTGTGTAGGATTGAGCTCTTTGTGTCTGATGCTGCATAGGTGAATAGGTAGGTTCTGTTCAAGGAAGCTGTAATCATAAAGCTCCTAATTCCCTTCCCCCCCCCCCCCCCCCCCCCCCCTTTTTTTTTTTTCTTCTGTGCAGGATTAGAATTCCAAAAGGAACTGGGGAAAGAAATGGAGGATGAATATCTAAGTTTATGGGATGCTGTAACCAAATTGACTGTGAAATATGGTTTTGGAGATGCTTTCCCAATACGAACTACTTCCCAAGTGTTCCTTGATCAGGAACAGACATCACCTAGAGGTATTGACAACCCCAAGAATTAGAGTTAGAAGCATGGTCTTCATTACTGTCACAAAATGTTTGGAGAGTAGTGATCTGATTTTTATCCTGGTCAGAAATCTAATCCATGCTTCAGTTGCGCCAGGGGAGTTTTAGGTTGGATCTTAGGAAGAACTTCTTTACTGAGAGGGTTGTTAGACATTGGAACAGGCTGCCCAGGGAAGCGGTGGAGTCACCATCCCTGGAAGTCTTCAAAAGATGTTTAGGTGTAGAGCTTAGGGATATGGTTTAGTGGGGACTGTTCGTGTTAGGTCAGAGGTTGGACTCGATGATCTTGAGGTCTCTTCCAACCTAGTAATTCTGTGATTCTGTGTGTGATTCTGTGATTTATACTCTCCTTCCTTTCAACCCACTAGTGTCTGACATTTCTTGAGAACCTATTTTGTTACATGTGTTTTGTTTAAAACATTCTAAACTTTATTAAGAAGGGGCAGTTTGCAAGAAATTAGTTAAGAACGGGAGCATAATTCTACTTAATTATATGGTGTTTTTCAGCTAGTATCAACAGATGTCAGGCGGGCAAAGTGGGCTCTAGTGGACTTCTTTGTTACTACATAGGCTATTAAGGCACCTTCTAGCACAGTATTGCTACTGCTTACTTCTGTAAGTAGTGCAGGAAATATGTGCCTGTGAGATGGAGTAGGTTGTAGCATTCATAGAAGTAGTATAGGTGTCTAAAATAGATTGTAAGATTACCTACTCAGAAGCAAAAATATCTGCTTTGTTCCTCTTCTTCCAGTGCTTGAGAAGAAAAAGGAAGAGAGGAACTGGTGAACTGCTGCTTCTTTTTTGCATATTTTACATTAAAAATGAATTTCCAGTAAAAAACTTGACAGAATTTCAAGTATAAGATATGAAATCATACATATTTTTAATCAACCTTATTTTTTTTTTTTTTAAATGCTGTACAGTGTATGAAGACAAAATTCCTGCTATAGGACTATTCCCAGTGAAATCTGATCTTGTTAAAGAGTATGCTGGAGATATTTTGAAAGACCTACCTGTTTTAGATGAGTATGTACTATGAGTTTTATTAAGATATTATAAGACTATGGGTTTGTTTACTACTGCCCTGGTGTTTACACCCATATTATGCTCAATTTGTGTGAGTTTAGAAATGCTTTTGCTGTGACTAGGGAAGGTTTCACATTTATGTGTACTGATAAAATACTCTGTAAATATTATCAGAAAATTCTGAAAAGGAATGCGTAAGAGTCAGTATCTTATTTTCTCATTCAATTATTTGTTTGTATTAGTCTTCAGTGATTCTTATTCTATATTCTGAAACAGTTATTCTGAATGCACAATTTGTAATTGAAAGGCCTCATCTTAAATTGCAAAGCTCAGGTTGATTTCAGGAAAAGGAAAATACTGAGTAACAGTACTGAATAAAAGTTGAGAGTAGATTATTATTTTTTTTTTTACATTTGCCGTGCTTGTGAAGGTGGGTTGTGTGCTGGACAATGATTACTTTTAGCCACTTTGGGAAAACGAAGACTCATCTTTTAAAGGATATTTCTGTGAGTTATGTAGTCACATTGCATTCTATGATTGAACTATATGAAAGTGGGAAAATGCATTTTTAATTTATTATTTTTTTTCTGAAAAGCTGAGGCTATCTTGACAAACTATATTTGGAGTAAAATTAATCCCTACATTGGTTGTCTGCCAATGTAAAGTGTTTTGATAAATATTCAGGTTTTCTTATATGTTTTAAATGTTTTATTAGAGACAACAGATAACCTTTTTAATTGTTGCTCTGTTTAATGTTTGTATCTTTCAGCAATGATCCTGCAGTTTCTTCACTTACTAAATACAAGGAATTTGATGAGCTTCGTCACTGGCATTCTGGCAGACCATTGACTGAGGAGTATGAACGTGTACACTGCAACGCTGATGGTAAGAAGAGCTAACAAAACCCACTTGTCTTTGTTGGCTAGAAAAATACTGTAAAGGTTAACGTTTTAGAGAAGGACTTCTCAGTTCAGAAAATATTTGCAACTGCGTAAACATTGCCAAAAAAGAGCTATTGCAATAGCTAAATTATACTTGCACATGCTGCAGAAATTCATCAGCTACATATTGTGTGTTATGCATTAACTTAATAGTTCTAACAAGTATAAGGGAGCATTTCTTGTCAGCTGTTCATGATGCTTTCTGTTGTGCTTGCAAAATGCTTCACAGATCTCTCTCTCTATATATAAAGTACATGTGCAATTTCATGTTTAAATCTATACTTTGAGTAATGCTTACTAAGCAAATTCGTATATGTGCAAAATCTACTCAGATGTGTGTCCAGCACATGCATAGCCAGTCAAATCTTTTGAGAACAAAAATTAAAGTAAGTAAAAAAAAAAGTAAACAAAAGGTGTTTGTATTAATGTTACGCATCATAGTTTTGTGTTTGTTTCTCAGCTTTGAGGTACTAACAAAAACAAAACATGGACTTAATTTTGATCTTAGACTTGCATATTTACATGAAATGAATTATATGATACTTTGTGTACTAGCATGTATACATAGCTCTTTTTCTCAAAGATGTTTCCATTATCGTTGCATCACACAGTGGATTAAACTCTCTCCCAGGAGGTGGGAAGTCATGCATTACTATTGGTGCTTCCTTTCATTTAGGGTTTTCATTCAGTGAATAGAAAAATTGTTTTCTGAATGGGCATTTGCATCACTTGACCTATGAAAAGTGTTCCATCTGCTTATCTTTCTGACTGGACAATTTTTTGCATTATTTTTTGCACTGTGATTTCAACAGGAAGTGTGGAGAGCAGTCACTCTGAGCATATCTGCACAAGAGTGGTAGCTAGAGCATCCTCCATAATGTTGGAGTTTATGTCCACTCCTACTGAAGAGAGAGCCCTCTCTATTCCATGTCTTGCACAAGTTCTCTTAACACTGGCCTGTATTATCTCAGTCTTTTTTGTGTAAAACAGAGAGAAATAGCTAAGCTTAAGTGCAGAAATATCCACGTGCTCGATACCTTCCATTTGGTCACATAAGTGTTCTTCCATATTATTTAAGTTCTGATGACAGAGTCTTGTATTCATGGGGAAGAGGTCTCTTTCTGATGATCTGAATTGACTTCTGCAGACACTTTCTTATTTTCATTGATTGTGTGAGAAGCCTAGGCACTTTTCTCAAGCAGTTGTAATTTCTTTCCAGGTGTCCTGTCTGTTAAGTTTTCCAATACTATTTTTTTGTGCCTAAAGTCTGAATTTGAGTCTGACATATCTCTCAGATAGTTCAAAGGACTGTTGAATTTCAATGAGTCTCAGTAGAAAGTATCTTTTGAAATGTGATTTTGGCCTTTAAGTTAAATTTATCCTTTATCCAGGTATATTTTTTTGGGGGGGTGGGGGCGAGGGGATTCTGTCAATGTGTTTTTGAATCAATTGCTGTTTATTTGCAGCAAAATCCAAAGATCCATATGAAAGAAAACAAATTCAAAAGTTACAGACTTTTTATCGTTTTTATGGAAGCACATTGCAAGAGGGCACTTCAAAGTTTGTTGTATGCCAAAAGAATGCACCAGGGAGTGCTAATAATCCCGTCAAAAAGAAAAAAATGCAAGTGAGTATATGCAAGTTGCTCTTTCCAAGTCTACTTTTTACTATCCAGAAAAACATTTCTACTATATGAATCACACATATTAAATATTATAGTTTGAATGCGCTAGTAGTTTTAGTTGAAGAAAAAAGCATTATCTTTGTAGTTCAAATTTAATTTACTATTTGGGAAAGAAAAACAAAGGTTTTTCTATTTGGAAATATTGATGAATGATTATGTTTTAACTGACAAGGAATTTTTTTAAAAAAAGATAAACAATAATATCAGATCTGTAAAGGCTGCTGAGATTTGGTTCATGGCCCATAATAGTGTGTGAGGTGAAGGAAACTGTAGTTCAATTTAATTTTACGTTTAAGAAACTACTGACAAATAAGGTAAAATCCACTATTTGGTTATTTATTTCCCTGCATTATTTGGAAATATTCTCCATGAAAGATCTTGGAAATATTGCTATTAATTCTATATGAACATTTTCAGACATCACTTGATATGTTACATATACTTGTGTACTAATGAACAGTACTCAGCAATAATAATGTGAGTAACATTTCATAATAAACTATACTATCTTTATACTGTTATGCATTATAGATTATGGCCTGTTGAATAGCCTATAAAAGTCCTAAATATGGAATATAATATAATATATTCCATAATATGGAATACAATATATTCCATAATATATTCCTAAAATATGGAATCTTCTTAATTCAAGTAAGATTGAACCCTTAATTTTATTTAATTTATGTAATAACACCTCAATGGTATTTTAATTATTGTTACCTATGGATGAAATAAAAGCTTTAAATTTAACTTCAACTGCTGTTTAATTTTTTCCACATCTGTGCATTTTTATACCACTTGTGAAGAAGCTTTTGACTTTTAAAATACAGATTAGATAAGCTTTTGTGAAGTAAATACTGGGATTCATAGATTGTCTCCTTCAGAGTGAAGTGCTATTTTAAAAAATCCTACTTAAGATACAATGTACCACACAGAATTGAAAACTATAATGTATCTTGAGTTTATGGATTAGTTTTTTTCAGATGATGCTTGGCAAAAAATGATGGTTGTTTCTGAATATTTTTTCTACATTTTATGTAGAAAAGTAAAGCAGAAATAATTGCAGAGGAAAACAACAAGCGACTAAAAATTAAAGAAGAAATGAAAGAACAGGAGCAATGGAAAACCTTGCAGATATCAACTGAAAAGGAAATAAAAGCAAATCTAACTGTTGGAATAAACAAATTGGAGAAGTTTCTCAAGAATCTTAAAAGTAAATCTGTGAAGTTCAGCGTAGAATTGTCAGGACTGTCTGCCTGTTTAGAAGTATGGAAGGAACACTGCAAAAAACAAGGTATGATAACCAAATGCATGTTCAGTATTTGACTTGCACTTCCTTTAACCAAGAAAGTGAGTGACTTTAGACATTCTCTACAGGAGTAAAGACATGTTAAAACTGCTTCTGTTTTGGGAGTACTAATGGTGCTTTTAAGTGTTAACAGACTGGTCCTCATTTGCAATTTCAGGATTTTCTGAGTGAGACAAAGAATCTGCTAAAATTAGATCATAAATATTTTCCTGTTTCACCTTGTAAACATTGTAAACATTGTATGCATAGGTAATTTGTTTTACTTTATACATATTTAATGATCATGCATCATGAACAGTAAAATATATCTATACAGAGGTGAATTGTTTGATTAGCTGAGTTGATTCACAGTCAGAATAATGCTGACTTGCACAGAAATTTATACCACCATGGTTAGATGTCTCCAGTTTCACCAGAATTAACTTATTCAATCTATGCTTTTAGTCAGAAGGATCCAAACAACTCTGTTGGAAACATGCTGGGGAGACCTGTACATGTTAGTGTGAAGTATGTAGCTAATAAGATTGAGTAACAAATATGTGAGTCAGGAAAATGAAATGGGGGAGCTCAGTTATTGTATAGATGTGAGAAGTATGACTTTCTTTTATTGTTGAGCTTGCAGAGGCAGATAGAATTGTTTTGGTGCCTGGTCTTCATTGTTGCACCTTGTAGAGCTCACAGAAGTGTGGGTTGTATTCTGGTCGCCTTTGATTAAAATGCACTTTTAAATTTCCATAAATGTTGTTGGATGGGTAAGGTCTATTTAAAAAATACCTAATATAAAAATGCTTCCAGTAATAGAATTGGATCTCAAGTAACTATTGAGTTCGCTTTTTGTTTTTTGTTTTTTTTTTTTTTTGAAAGATACTAAATCTAAAGATTTAAGCAAAGCTGTTCAACTCATGAGGAGAATTCATATCCTCCTTGAAAAATATCAAGACCTCTTGGAGAAATCACATCTACAAAAACTGACCCAATGTCTACGACTTCTTGGATTTGAGAATTTGGCATGTTCACTGTCTGGCCAGGTAACTTTATAGACTGTGATGATTCTATTGTAACTGGATCTCTAATTGATATAAACATAAGTATGTAACAGTGTGTAGAAAATCTATATTGAGCTTACTGTAATTATATTGTGCCTTAAGTTTAGCTGTCTATTCATGCTTCAGAAATTAATGAGTAATCTTCCTTAGTTCCATGGATATATTTCTTTGCTTGATGTGAAAGAGAGTTAACGCATTAGGCCACTTCCCCTTTATTAAGTGGAACTATATATGGCTGTGAAGTACAACCTGTGAAACATGTTAAGAGATGTCTACATCTCTAAGAGGTACCTGTTGTTCCACTCATCACATCAGCTGAACTCTGCATGTCAAAAAAAAGCATTAATGCTTATTTTATGAAAATATTTATATTTTTTATTATTTTATGAAAAATAATCAATTCAAAATGTTCATTAACAGGCCTAAACATGCTACTGTATAGAGGAAATCTTTGATACTGATGAGCTAGATGAAAATTATATTGTTTGTTTTTATGGTATTACTCTACCCTGTTACTGAGCTATGATGATCGCCTCTGAGGGAAACTGACACTGAATTGCTTGTCTTCACTAACACAGCTGAGACTGCCAGATAGCTACTCTGAATTTGGCTCTGAAGTCATATTTCTAAAGACCGGACTTGTGCTTTTCTGCTTGCAACCTTCCCCCTGGCTGATTTAAAAGCAGTTCTGTAGATGTGATGTTACCGGGGAGAGGGAATGCTAAAGTGGTTGTCAGGTGGAAGAAGGGGGGATATAACTAACAGTCTGCAGAATATGAAGTCAGTAGCAAAATGAAAGGATTACAGTGAACCATAAAACCAGTGTGATTTCTGTATCTCATTTTTTCATGTGCAACAGTGTTAGGAATTTTTTGGAAGCTCAGTTCTGGAAATCTTTTTTTTGTCCTTCTTTGAGGATTGGGACTAAGAGATGAGGGAGGAAGAGATTTGTAAGACTCTTCCCTTTGGGAGTGGAAAGTATTTGTCTGCTTTTCTGTGTAAATTTGACTGATGTATGGAGATAGTAACTCTGTAGCCAAAAGCAAACTGTTAAGGGTGTTTGGTGCCCTGAATAAACCAAAATCTGAAAAAACTGAAGAGTTGAGGTTGGAAAGGACCTCTGGAGGTCGTCTGGTCCAGCTCCCTGCTCGAGAACCTAGAGGAGATTGCCCAGGACTATGTCCGGACAGCTTTGTATGTCCTCACGGAGGGTATCTCCAGAATTATCTGGGCAACTTGTTCCAGTGCTCAGTTGCCTGCTGTGGTAGTTCACACCAATGGCCAAGTAAACTTCACTATACTTCTTTCTGTTCCCCCCCTCAAAAGAAGGGAGGGGGAGAAAATACGATGGGGGGGGGGAGGGGGGGAAGCTTCACAGGTTGAGATAAGAATAATTTAATTAAAGGAAAGAGGAAAAACAAGCAAAGGCTGCACAGAAACAGAGGAAAAAAAATCCCATCAGCAAGGAATGTTCAGCCATGTCCTGGGAAGTAGGGTCTAGGTAAGAGTAGCAGCTGTTTGGGATGATGGACATCTTCATAACAAGAGCCCCTCCTCTCGTTTCTCACCTTTTGTTGCTGCACAGGACACCACATGGTATGGGACATCCCTTTGGTCAGTTTGGGTCAGCTGCCCTGGGGATAACCCCTCCCCACCTCTTGCCCAGCCTGCTGGCTTTGGGTGTTTTGGAGGCACTCTTGGTGCTGTGCCAGCCCCTCTCAGCAATAGCCAAAAACTTGGTGCGGTATCAGGGCTGTTCTAGCTACAGTTCTAGCACTTCTAGCACTATATGTGCTGTTACAGGAAAGCTAACTCCATTCCAGCCAGACCCACTACACCTGCACAGTACAGAAGTGTCTGCTTCCTGTTGTTTAGACAGGACCTCTTGTGTTCCAGTTTGTGTCCAGGGTCAGGACAAGAGGCAATGGGCACCACTAAAAAGAGCCTGGCTCCATCCTCTTTGCATGCTTCCTTCAGGTATTTGTACATGTTAATGAGATCCCCCAGAAGCCCAGGCTGAACGCAGCCCTGAGTGACCCGATCAGTTTGCACCTACTTTTAGCAGGGAGCTGGATTAACTGACAGTCGGATATCCCTGCCAACCTAAATTATAATGTGATTTTCTGACATTCTGGTATATGTTGTAACATGGAAGGCTTTGCTAAACAACTTTCAAGATCAAATGGTGTAACCAAACATGTACACAAACATTGAAATTTGTTATGTCTTAGGGTATACAGGTGCTGCGTAAAAATATAATACTTTGCAAAAATTGGGATCACAATCTTCATATTGAGTTTCTTTTCACAACTTTGATTCATTGCATAAAGTGTCAGGATAGGTCCAAGAAAAGAAAAATATAGGATGAGAAGGCTCTAGCAGGTGATAGCTCAGAGAAGCCAAGTTCTGCCTTCTCGTCAGTTTCGTAAGCTCTGCTGACAACAAAACCATCAACAATGAGGGTTACTGGAGACATATTGTTTATAGGCTATAGTAGTCTCCTTTGAACAGATACAAGCTTATACAAAGCTATATAAGAGAAAATGTATTTAAAAATCACCTGCACTTTCATATATTTTTTAAAGCTTTCAGAGTTCCAGAGCAGAAGATGTGCCATTTTCTGAATCTCTTGCTAGTTTGCAAACCAACTTGAAATGTATTGTGACCTTATAGGTTAGAGAAAAAAGTGATGGTGAGAATACAAGTAGATATGCTATTGAGGTGGGACCAGTTCGCTTCCAGCTACAATACATGGACTATTACTTGCTCAGAGAAGAGAGAAATGATCCAGATCCCCGAGTGGAAAATTTCATACCAGACACATGGCAGGTAATGAAACACAAACCATTTGTATGTAAAGATACTGGAAATGACTTTTTTTTCTTTGTTTTAGAATACATGTGATTCTACTTCTTGCTAAAAATAGTGTTTCACTAAAGTGAACAAATTCAGAAGATCATTTTGGATGGTATTCCATGTTCTTTCTAACATGACAGCTTTTCTACTGAGAGCTTGGTCCAAGGAATTCAACATAAGAAATGTCAAATCCATGGGATTTCACTGTTCATCATAATATTTGATGGTGATAACCTAAAGAGTGAAGCATACTATGAATTGATAATAAATTTTCTGTTTAAAGCACAGTAGGTCTAACTCAGGTCTGTCTGTTATTGGACTGGGGAGACCAGTTGAATTTTCTATTTTGTGTGACCACATCTGCAAAACAGATACTTGCTTGAGAAGCACGTTTGAACTCAGCATATATGCTAATATAGAAAGATAGTGTTCATGCTATTTATTTCTCACTTCTTCTATCCATTCCCCCCCCGCTCCTTCTACAGACCTATTTAAAGTGAGAGGAAGCATGGAGGAAGACAGTAATAGGAAGAAAACAAATTTATTAGTGTATGCTAAGAGCAGAAGGGAAAACTGGACAGTATTGCTATAACAATTCAAGAAAAATGACTGTATTGTATAAAACAGTGAAGTTCTTGTATCTAAATTGTACACTGCTGAGTTAACTGGTTTTTATTTTGAAAATGTCCAGTTTCAGACTGTAAGTATTCTGGTATCAAAATCTCAGGCCAAATAATTGAAACAAACAAGTGTAAAGTTGTAGTTCCATTTTTTCCCACTAACAGTTTGAGAAAAGAATACAGTCTTAAAATTCTAGATTAACCATGACTTCCCAGAGTCTAAAATGAGCAAAAATAGAGACATTTTCACAGGAAGAGCCGGTTCACTTTATGAGAACTTCTTAACAAGAGGTTTTGCTCTTCCCTTAGCGAGAACTTCTTGATGCTGTTGATAACAATGAGTCTGCAGTGATAGTTGCTCCTACTTCATCGGGAAAAACATATGCATCATATTATTGCATGGAGAAAGTTCTGAAAACGAGTGATGATGGAGTAGTTGTGTATGTTGCTCCTACAAAGGTAAGGCTACATCCTACTACATATTCTGTACTGTCTGTACTATGATATTTTTCAACATGATTGTGAAAACATTTGGGGTAACTTATTGTACGGATTTAGTTGATGTATGTCTTTTTTTTATTAGAAACGTGTATTTAAGCATGCTTACAAAAGATCTGCAAAATAATTAAGTTCATGTACAATTTTTTGACTGTTTATATAGCTATTTTAAGGTCAGAAACATTAATACATAGAAAAGTGCTAGAAGTAGTGTTAGGTAAATGGTGACAGTGCCAAAAGCCTACAGACTTGGTGAAAGTAATGTTAAAACAGAACAAGAAACATATTTTCCAATTGAGTTCACCATTAGATGCTTCAAGAGAACTTGTGAAACTCTAAATATCTTTGGGATATTTTTTAATGAGTGTTTTATCCTTCTTTTTAGTTAGAAATGGACTTAAGAGCTAAACCAATGTTTTGATTTCTTCCAAAACTTGTTTTAAGTAATATGAAATTTGAATATGGAATTACATGTGCTATTATTTAGTAATTTCTTTGGATTCTTTTCTATAAGTTTTTTTTTTTTTTTTTTTTTTTTTTTTTTTTTTTTTTTTTTTTGATATGGCATAAAAAACGGGCATCAAATTCATACTTTCATTTGAATATCAGAGTCTGGGTGCACAAATATATTTTATACCTGCAGGCCTCAGGAATCTGATGTTATTAAAGTGTTTGTAGATATAGCAGAATACTATAAAATAATTAAAATACAGAGTTAATACTATATAACCCACTTCACAGGACACTAGATTTCTTTGAAAACATTTGAGTATAATTGAACATCAGGTACCATTTCTGTTCAAAGTTAACATTGATGATCCAGATTTAATAAAAGTGTGGCAATAGTATATTGCAGTCTAGTACATTAAAATCAGTGCCAAAATTGAATACATTTGTATGCCTCAGAACATTGTATGCCTTTAGACATCCACTGTGTAGTTTTGTTAATGATCTGCTTTACTTAAGGCCCTTGTAAACCAAGTGGTGGGAACTGTATACAGTCGGTTCACCAAGACGCTTCCAGATGGATTGGTGGTGTGCGGAGTCTTCACACGAGATTATCGTAATGATGTCATGAATTCTCAGGTATATTTTTTGAATGTTTTAACACTTAAAAGTTATGACTTCTGTACTTCATCTGGCCTCTGAAAATGTTAATTTTTATTATAACAATTGTGCCATTACTAAATAGAAAGTTGAGTTAAAATCTATGTACTGCTTACCAGAAAAATTTTCAGTCTGTGGCATACAACCTTAACTATTCATCTTTTGATTACTTGCTCTGGTTAGGAGAAGAAACATTTAATTCCTTTGGTCATAAGCATACAGCAGATGTAAATACAGATAAATGAAAGAGGTGCTCCTTTTTTTTTATAAACATTGATGACATCGACTGATTGTAAAGTAGTACTGTGATGGATTTTCTTGTTGATCTTTAAAGATCTGTTTTCACTAACCACCAGGGTTCAAAATCACTTGAGCTCTTGATGTGTCTTAGTTATGTCCTAAAGTTCAAACTGAAATGTAGGTAAATCTTGGAAATAAATTAGGTTGACCATCTCAGAGTTGGAAAATAGTGTGATTTCAGACAATCAGATGATAGTGTAAAATCCTGATATAGATAGAAGTAAGCTTTATATATATATATATATATATATCTGTAAGCCATTAATCTTTTATAAGCTTTGTTGGTAAAAGATAAACTGCAAATGAACCTTTGTTAATCCCTCAGCATTGTTGTCCATGCTGTTTCCTTTCATGCGTTGCTTCTCTGGCCAGCATTCTTTCGTTCTTAAGTAGTATCACTTAAAAAATAATAAAATAAGTACAACTTGCTTACTGATTTTAAGAATATTCTAGACAATCTTGCCTGTTAATACCTCTACTGAAAATCATGAACTCATACAGGTGGGTAGAGTTTGGCTGCTTGCAGCCACTCTTGTTCATTGTGACTGTAACTTTCGTTGCAAGGTGAATCAACCTAGGTTATTCATAGAATCATAAAATGATTAAGATTGGAAGTAGTGACCTCTGGAGATCATTGTGTCCAACCCTCCTTCTCAAGCAGGACTGCCTAAAGCTAGTTCTCCAGGATCATGTCCAGGTGGTTTTTGAATATTGGCAAGGATGAAGACTCTACCAGCTCTCTGGGCAACCCGTTCCAGTGCTCAGTCACCCTCACAGCGAAAAAAGTGTCTTTATGTTCAGACAGAGCCTCCAGTGTTTTAATTTTTGTCCATTGCCTCTTGTCTTGTCACTAGACACCACTGAAAAGAGATCTGTATTTTTTATATCCTCTCTTCATATTTATATACATTGAGATCTTCCCTGAGCCTTCTCTTTAGGCTAGACAGTCCCAGCTCTCTCAGCCTTTCCTCACAGGAGATGCTCCAGTCTGTTAATCATCTTAGTGTCTCTCTGTTGGACTCCCTTGAGTATATGCATGATTTTCCTGTACTGGGGAGCCCAGAACTGGACCCATCAGTCCAAGTGTGGCCTCAGATGCAAAGAATCACCTCCTGTGCCCTGCTGGTAATACTTTGCTTAATGCAGCCCATACTGTTCACCTGCTTTGCTGGAAGGGCATGAGGCTGACTCGTGTTCAACTTGGCATCCACCAGGACTCCTAAGTCACTTCCTACAAAGCTGCTTTCCATTTGGGTGGCCATCAGCAAGTGCTGGTGCCTGGGGTTGTTCCTTCCCGGGTGCAGGGCTTTGCACCTCCCCTTGTTTAACTTCATGGGATTCCTGCCAGCGCATTCCTCTAGCCTGTTGAGATTCTTCTGGATGGCAGCATCACCCTCTGGTTTATCAGCCACTCCTCACAGTTTTGAGTCATCTGCAAACTTGCTGAGGGTATACTCCATCCATCATCTGGATCATTAACTAAGATGTTAAACAGGACTGGACCCAATGCTGTTCCCTGGGGTACACTGGTAGCTACTGGCTTCCAACTACACTTGGTACTACTGATTTCTCTGGGACTGGTTATTTAGCCAATCTGCTCATCTGGCCTACACTGCAACAGCTTGTCTATGAGCATCTTATGGGAGACAGCATCAAAAACCTTATTGAACACTAGGCAGACAATATTCACTGCTCCCTCCTCATCTAACAGCCGGTCATTTCATCACAGAAGTTTATCAGGGTGGTCAAGCATGACTTCCTCTTGGTCAATCCATGCTAAAAACTCCTGATGACTTCCTTGTCCTTCATGTACCTGGAAATGGTTTCCAGGATTAGTTGCTCCATCACTGTCCCAGGGATCAAAGCAAAGATTACCAGTCTGTTAGCTCAGGCTGTGTCCTTCTTCTTACCCTTCTTGAAGGTAGAAGTGAGAAATTAATTTTTGCTCATCTTGAAATCAAATACATGTTTTAAATGCTTTTTCAATATAGAATCTATTCTGTTATGTTTGATCAGCCAATTTATTTGAAAATAATGCTTTACAAACTTTTTTTTCTTAGATATTAGTGACTGTGCCTCAATGTTTAGAAATCTTGATGCTGTCTCCTCGTTGCCAGAAATGGGTCAAACGGATACAATATGTTATATTTGATGAGGTAGGCATCTTTCAGTAATAATCAATTTAATAAGTTTATGGGGGAAAAAAGGCAGAGGAAAACTATCAATAATTATTTTTTTCACTACATGCGTTATTGCTTTGTTATATTGTTATTACTTCAGACTTGCTTGCTTTTTCATGTTAGCTAATAGTCTTAATATGTTCCAGTGCAAGAACTTAAAACTCTGATAGTCCTGGAGAAGACATACAGTTCAGTTGAGCTACCAGGAATTTCTCTTATTTCTTTCAAGCCAGTCAACTGGAAAACTAAAGGTCACCACTGTAGTCTTAGTGGTTAAAAATGAAGCCTGGAGGTATTCTGGGTTTGAATTGTAGACATATCCCTTCAGGAGATATTTGTCAGTCTTTTGAGGGCAAAAACAGTGTTTAATATTGCTAAATTTAATATTTGTACTGGATTCTTTCTTGTATATCAACTTAATTGTTAATGGATGTCAGTGAATATCTAAGGTACAAACAATGAATGTAGTATTGAAGTTAGTATAGTCTAATTCACTATCCAGTGAATTTGCAATGTAAGAATTATTCAGTACTGATCTTCTAACCTTTTTGATTTTAGCAAAACATAAAACAGCTCCTGTTTTGTGTGTACTTTGATAAGGTAGGTTTCTTACTTTTCTTTTTTTTTTTTATCCTCTTTCCCAAACATATAGGTCCATTGTCTTGGTGGCGAAATTGGAGCAGAGGTTTGGGAGCATCTTCTGGTAACAATTCGGTGTCCGTTTTTGGCTCTCTCTGCTACTATCAGTAACCCAGAACACCTAACTGAGTACGCTTGGAATTTTTCTCATTCAAAAGAGCATATTTAAATTGGATATGAACTATTGATACAAACCGATGGGTATGAACAATTACGATTGACAGGCAACAGATTTGGAATTATACTGTTTTATGTATTATATACATATAATTGACACCAAACAATTCTGTAACTTTTAGCTCTCTGTAATGAGAACAGGCATTCATTCCTATTCTTTCAGACCCTCTGAGAGAGCTGGGCAGAGGTGTTTTTTTTTTTTTTTTTTTTTTTTTTTTTTAATCTATTTGATTTGCCAAAACCTGATAAGCATACTTACCCATCATCAGTCAAGGAAGACACATGTCTTTGTATGTATAATGATGGTGTGATTTCACATTTACGAATTGCACCCTGGGATAAGCTGGAGAAAATTGCACTGAAAATGGTGAGAGGGGGGACTGGAAATTTTATAGGAGAAATAGAGCAGAATGTAGTACTTCATCTATTATAATTGTATCAGTTTTCAAAGAGAATTTTTTTATGGCTTGGCTTTATTTTATTCTTGAACTGTAGGTGGTTACAAAGTGTGAAAAGGTATTGGCAACGTGCTGAGAACATGATAGAAGAAAACTCTACCAACTTTGAAAAGAATTCTACAAGAAAACTTAAAGTGAAATCTAAAGTAAAAGAACCAAAAAAAACATACCGTGTTAGACTAGGTGTGTATCAGAATGTTTTATAATAATAATAAGTAAATTGTAGTGTCCTTCCTGTAAACACTTTAATCGCTCTGTGTGAACTTAAGAATATGTATAGTTTTTAAATAAAGTCAAATCAAAATACTTGCTTTTTAAAACCAACAATGTATCATGACATTTTTGTCTCTTTGCAGTCCTGTATGGAGAAAGATACAATGATTTGGAAAAGTATGTGTGTTCTTCAACGGGTGGTGATTTTCTCTTTGAACATTATCACCCATGTGCTGCATTAACAGTCAATCATGTAAGCATAGCATTGGTGTAAAAAGTGTTTATCAACGGTTACATTAAGTAATATGGATTCCATCAAAATGATTATTTTCTTTTGTTTAAACTCCTTCCAGATTGAAAACTATGGTATTCCTGCAGATCTTTCTCTGTCTCCAAAAGAGAGTGTTCAGCTGTATGACACAATGGTAGAAGTCTGGAAGGAGTGGCCAAGGGCACAGGTGGGTATACAGATATGTGCACAGAATATATAAAAAGTAAATAGATAGTGAAGTAATTCAGTGTTTTATGTTGTTGCTTTCAAGGAGCTAGATCCTGAGGAGTTTGTCTCTTTCAAGAATAAAGTAGTAATAAAAAAGATGGATGTGAGGAAATATGAACAGGAACTGAAGAAAGAGCTAAGCAAATGGATTGAACTTGGCCAAAGACAGAAGGTAACAGTTGTTAGAGGGGTGTGTTTTTAAGACTCTGTACAGCTGTAATGTAATGATTATACAGTAATATAACTAGACAATTATAGGAGCCTCTCCTCCCTAATTATTATCTATGAGTATTAGCTGCTGCTGTGCTGAAAGATAAGCACTAATATTTGTGGCATTTCAGTAAGCATTTTCAAGGTTGTTTTCACAAGCTTCTCTGGAAATCAGACTTCTAGGTACTGCCGCGAGATTCTGATTTCTGATTCTTTGAGTGTACCTCCTACAATTAGTGACAATACTGTACCACAATTCTGCTTCTTTAGCCTACTTCTTTTTCTTTTACTGATCATTTGAAACCTTCCATGTAACCAAGGACAGAAGGTATGTTCCTATGTAAAAGACAGAAATTTAAGTAATGGACTTTAAATTGGAAGATCAAGTCTTTAACTAGAGGCCATATATTCCTATATCATAAATAGGTATATGAGGAGGTGGTGAATAAAAAACAAGGATACAATATAGAATATTTGGGGAAAAAAATCCCAAGGTTCTTGAAATGTGACGCTTGAATGTGAAAATATATCATAATTGGTATGTTAGTAGTGCTGTATTATTTCCACTGTGAAGGTAGACATGAATGCTACAGTGATTTGCATTTTGAATTCTTACTGAAGTCATTGTGTTCTGCAGACCTTTTAAGTCTGTAGACTATGCGAAGCCATTGTAGTTCTGCATGACTTAAGAAATCTGAGCAGATAGAAGCTGTTACAGGAAACTTTGCCTTCAGCTGGAAGTTGCTGCCATTAAAATCTCCTCAATAATATTTTGGTCAGGTATGTGAGCTTCTGGATCACTTTAAGCCCCAACCGATGGATTGCTCAGATCAGGAAAAATGGATGCAATTTGCATGCTTTGTTGAAAAATTGCATGAGATGGATAAATTGCCTGCCATAATTTTTATGTAAGTATTTATATTCCATGTGTTATGTGTGTGTTGACTAGATTCAGAAAAATGGTATTAGAGATAAATGGAATTTGCCAAGCCATATCAATATTTATGTCCTTTTCTTATCTTTGTTCTAAAGTTTGTGAAGTAAAGGCTTACAAGCTCTATCAATCTGTGTATCTTTATGGGACTGAAGGTTTAGCTGAAGTAAAACTAGGAGTGATCGATTATTGTGTGGAAAGGTTAGAATCCATGCATGATACCTGAGGAAAATTATAATCTGAATCACATTAAAATAAGAGTTGGATTCTCTGTTGCTTTGCCCCAGTGTAATAAGTAAAAAATATGCTGTTTAATTAGAAGTGCAAACAGTGTATGTTGGGGGCAGATTTGCTAGGGAAAAGGGCAGAATGAGGTCCTATGAATATGTCATTTAACATGGTTTTAGTACAAAGCCTCTCACAACATTATTTTATATCCAGTAAAATGCATGAGTGAAACTTCTGCATGTATCTGAGATGTATTTTCACAAAACATGAAACATGCATAACCTACTGATAATACCATTATTGTCAGCGATATTGCTAATATTAATAAAGTGGGCATATTACCTCGATGCTTGTCCTAATAATGAAAAGAAAATACTTACCATTAAACAGTTGTCCAGTGCATATTCTTATTGTAATAACATGTAGGAACAATCACATACATGTGTTACATAAATATCAGTTTTCTCATCTCAGTATGAAGCCTTTCCTTTCCTTTGAATGCTTTGAATAATTAGGGGGAGAATGTTCTTTAGCATTTCAGTTCTTATGTGTTTTGCTTTTTTTTTTTTTTTTTTTTTTAAAAAAAAAGGCATTTCTGAAAGAACTCTAGAAAGAAAGAAGCAAAAAAGTGAATATACAGGTCAATGGTGCATCTCAAATGACTCTAATTGCTAATAAATTCTCTCTTTTTATATTTCGAGTGGCAGTCTAGTTGCAAATAAATGCTATGGCTGATTTCCAGCAGTCTGGTTCTAAATCAATGCTATGGCTGATTTCCAGCTGAAGCCAAGAGATTTCAAAAGCAGTCTTAAATATTTTTAATTCCTTCACGAGTGATTTTAGAGCTGCAGTATTAACTGCATTGTCCTTTTGAGGCACTTAATAGGATGTTCCAAAGTGCTTCTCCTCAGGAGAGACAGATCACTAAGTTACTCTCATCTACCCTGGAATGATGAGTCATTATAAATTTCTGGTGACAAATGGCTCTTACAAGGGGCTGTGTGTAGAGTATGTGTTCTCTTTGTAATAGACAACTGATAAATGATCATGCTGGGAAAAGAACACATCATAGACCGGTGAACATGGATGCATCATGTAGATATGAAGTTGGGGTGTGAGCCTGAGAAATCTATTATCTTATGTTTTAAGGCATAGGTGTACTGTGATTGCACTTCATAGACCTCCCCAGTGTTGTAGTCAGACAAGGAACAAGCATCAGAAGGAATTTCAAAAAAATAAAAATAAAAAATTCTAGTTACATGTCCAAATCCTGAGAATTTGTGATGGAGATGAAGGGGATGAGGAGCCCTCACAAGAAGTAGATACTGACATGGAGTAACAGATTGGTGCTGGCAAGCTTTCTTTCCTTAAGCTTTTATTGATGTGTGAGGTTGGAAAGCTGTCACCCATTGTGGTATTTTGTCAACGTGGAATTAGTAAAGACTCCTGAGAGAGTAGGTATCAGAGCTGTAGAAACCAAGTTGCTATTGCAGCTATTGGTGGTAGGGAAAACAGTACCTTTTCTTTTCCTAAAGCCACCAGGGAAAGAAGTATGCTGGCACCATATTTGTACTTAAATGGCTGAATAAACTCTGTGATAGAGAGAAGTTTAAATCACCCAGTGTGGGCTTCAGAGAGATGAGAAGTAAATGGAAAATGATTGCAATTGAGCTGTGTTACCTGTGAAGAAGTGAAAAGCTTGAATTAAGAAGTTACCTTTGAGTCTTAAGACCCGTGTTTGGCCTTCACGAGAATAAAGTCCTTCCATTTGCTCCTGTTCTTGATGACTGCCAGATCTGAATGACTTGTAAGCATTCTAATGGACGAGGATGCAACTTCATGCCAGGTGTTGCCAACCCTTGTATGGTGACAGCTAACAGTCTCTTCCCACTACAATAAGAATTTAATTTTTTTTTCTGACTGAGAAGCTGGAAGAGTCCAAGCTAAGCTAACATTCCAGTATTGACAAAGCTATGAGAAAGAACAGCTGTGTAGAATAACAAGAGAAACAGTCATTCCTTTTCAACAGGCTAGTTGAGAAGGATTAAATGATTTAAGTTACAGTCTATTTTATATGTATGTTCATGTGCCAACTTAGGGCAAGGTAGGACTGTTTTCTGTAGATAATTAACTGGCAGAACCATTTTGCATGTTACCACTCAGTTTTGAAGTAATTGTAGCTTGAAAGTGAACACAGCCAATGACTTTGGGATGAAATAGCAATGATGCACTTCTAATTATTATAATTTACTGCAGTCAAGTAATAAGGCTGAGCATTATTGTAGCAGCATTATATACGCGTACAAATAAAAATTTATCTTAGCATTCACCTAACTGATCTATATCACATATTATTTACTTCAAGATTTGGCTTAGATTCAGTGGAGCGTGCAGCCACTAATGTATTCATTCATTTGATGGAAAAACAAAAAAATGAACAAGACCCTAAAGCCAAGAGGGAAATAGAGGACATAAAGGACAAACTAAGAAAAGTGGATAAATCACTAACGAAATGCAAGACAAAGTAAGTATTGTAACTGTGTATTGTGAAAAAGCTTATATAGAGCAGTCTTGTGGTAAGTTATTTCTTGGGCATGTACCTTACAGCAGCATCCAGTTGTAATACAGTAGTTCTGGTTGTTCTGCATGCTCCAGCAACCCACAGAGTAGGAGCAGCTGCATGGTGGGTAGCAATCAGCAATACCTTGTGCATAGTTAGGCAGCAGAGAGATACCAGCGTGGCTGACACTGTGTAAAGTGCTAGCACTACAGAATGAGGATCAGAGAGAAATTTGAGTATGTGAGATTGGTCAGCTTGGAATAATCCAGTAATGAGGTGATATTGAGGTATTTGTTTCCCCCTTAGCCTTGAACTTTCTCGATTTTTGTGATCATAGGGTGTAGATTTTTAAAGGCATTTAGGAATTAATATGGATATAGTTACTAGGTTTGTCAGGAACACAAAGCACCATTGTTTTGTCCTCCTAATTGTGGCAAATTGCAGTGCATTCCTCAAGCATAATATCGTGAAGGAATGAACTTGGCTGACTTTAATGGTACTAAGTGAGAACTTGAAAATCCAGTAAGAATTTGTACACATATGTGTACATTGAAATAGCATGAAAATCTGCTTCTAAATATTTTCTCTTCCTTTTCTTCAAATCCTTCACTAAATCCTTAAAGTCAATGTCATTATTGGTAGTAAGTGGATCACATTTCTCTTCTGTGTTGATTTTTTTCTGCTGTGCAATACTGTTAGCTTACTAGTTTGCTGAACAGTGGTATTAATGGTTGCTGCCCTCATCTTCCTTCAGTTTTCCTTGTCACCACAATTACTCAATTGTACTTCATCCAGAATTATTTATTTTGCATGCAAGCCAAGATAAAATTAAGCTGTTAGCATTATGAGTAAATCTGTTTCAACAGATCTATCTACACGTTTGAGCCTACAATTTAAAAGGGAATGCATCTGCAACTTTTAGAACCCAAAGAATATATTGAAATAGAGAACTATATGCTAATTACAGAACTAATATTTTTTATTCTATATTTTATACAGTGATACCAAAAAGTTGAAAACCAGTAAAGCGGAAAGCATAATACAGCTCTGGACTATGAAAAATGAGTTAGAGAAAAGACTTAAAAAGCTTAGTGTGACGCCTTCTGCGTGTACTTACGCTGATCCTAAAGCAGTAGATGAAGATGTAAGTAACTCACTAGTACTTCCAACATGTTTTTGGTTTTGTATGTCTAAAATGCTTGAATTTGTGCAAAATTTCATAAGACATCAATATGCGATGCGTTTGTATTCACTGACTTCGTGAAGCATTCGATTCCAGATCTCAGTCTTAAATAACCTTGTTTTTAAGATGTACAGAGAACTTTCATTCTGACAAATAAAAAGATACAGACTTGTTCTTGTGGGATATACATGACAACTAATTCATTTCCATGAAATAGTAGCAGTGCGGTTCTGTTACTTGTTGATTCAGGTTTCAGACTCATATTTTCTGAATCGTTAACATAGGCTATATGTCACCTCTCTGTGTGGAAGGTCTATCTAGACCTTTCTGAACTGTTTATATCATATGAAAATAACAAATAAATTATTTTAGGCCCTAAAAGTTCTAGTCTCCACAAAGCAAAATCGTCCATGTTCTTAAGCATGTTTACACACGCTAAGGAAGGAAAAGCTCAGAAAAGCACTGAAAGTCTGCAGGTGTCTATCACTAATATTAATGTATACAACCAATATTAATTATATACAAAAATATAATGTCATCAATATTTGTATACAAAATAATTAAGGAATAATTTATGAAGGAGATTTATATGATGTAGTTTCCATCAATAGTGGGTGAATGGGCCTTGATCTAAAGTTCCTGAGAAAAGACTCTGGTTCACAAAGCTGTCTCTCCATGACTTTTGTTTAAATAAAAAAAAAATAAAAATGTAATTGTGATACATACTTTTTAATTCAGAGATTTTTTTTTTTTTGAAGTGTCTTGGTAATGCTTTGTGCTTATTGTTACATCTCTAGAAGGAGAGGTAAATGTTGCATATTGGGAGCAAATGCGAAAATTCTCATGATTCCTATCCTGGGAACCTGGGATCCCAATGGCATTTTTAGACTTCTGTCAGCCAGCATCAAAAGAGTATTGCTTTCCCACAGGTGCACATGGGTAAAAACAGTGAAGAAATATTTGGATTTTTGGAACAGATGGCATTTAGGTACAGGGTGAAGTTCAGAAAACACTGAAGAAGCTTAATTTAGTTCTATTTCTGAATTTGGGAAAGGGAAGCTCATAACTATGTGAAATGGAACCAAGGGGGGATGACAAACAAGAGCAAAAGAATATAATCTTTGCATAGCTACTTTGGAATTTGTTCAGAAGTAGTGGCATGGTGTATGTGGTCATAAAACCATATGTTGAGTTGAAAAACTAAGGACATGAAGATTTGCCATGTCTGGTTGCAACTAGCAGCATGGTTTGAAGATTGGGACTGTGTAATGGCATTTGTTGCAATAGTGAAAAAAAGTGATAGTGTATAAAAATATACCGAAGTGCCTGAATTTCTGGCCATAATGAAGCTACTGATGGTTTACATCTAGTTATGTACTTTGAGCTTCAAGTTTACTAAGATCTTAAACAGGTATGTTTCTTTGTAGCACTTGGAACTTTTATTCTCTTTTCACTGGCAATACTTGGTTGTGGTTAATACTTTTATTTGTATTTGTACTTATTTGTATTTTATTTGTATTTGTACTTATTCTTTTTATTTGTAGACTTTGAGGAAGATTTTTTATCGACTTAGGTTTGAAAGAAAGGGTTATCTTCAGCAAATGCTGGCACGGAGGGGCATTGGATATCATCATGGATCTATGTCCATAAAGCAGAGACAAGCAGTGGAGATGCTTTTCAGACTGGGATATATCAAGGTTGATAAATCAGGATCAGTTCTTCTTTTTTTTTTCTTTTATTTTCTCTATACATGTAATTAAAAATGTCTAGTGTACCTTTTATTAGTGGTAGAATATATTGGATTGACTTTATCAAGCTCATTCTTGAAATGTTGACATAACAGTTTCCAAATTAATAAAATGAACTAAGTGAATTGATAGCTGTAGAACTTAATTTCTAACTAAGAGTTACTGTCCTTCAGATTAGCAGCTGAACAGTTAAAAGATGTTGACCTAAAACAACCAGAAGTGTTTTAGTGAATTGAACTATATAGAACCATGATACTTTGCACTCTTTTGATGGAATGTTATTTCTATTTGTTCTTCAAAAAATGTGGTATAAACTTCCAAGATATTAAAGCTTATAACTGTTTATATGTGTATATAATTTACACTTAATCTACATTTAAACAGTGAAATTAATGTATTTTCATAGCTCTTTTAAATTAATCAGATTAAACTTTAGTTATATGAAAAATAATAGTAAAATTTCTGTTGATATAAGATAGATTTGTTTTTTTAAAATCTGGTATTACCATTTCTCATACAAATAAACATGTTCGATACTTTATAGGTCGTCACAGCTACTTCAACACTTGCTCTAGGAATCAACATGCCGTGTAAATCTGTTGTCTTTGCCGACGATTCTGTCTATTTGGATGCACTGAGCTACAGACAGGTATGGAAATAGAACAGTTGCAGTTTCTATTACGAGTAGAAAGTAGATGGTATCACAAAAATTCAGAAAAAAATGTCATTTACATATACTTCTGGATATGTTCAGAGATTTATCTGTTTACTCTGGTGACAATAATAATTTTAGCTAGCGTGATTTTACTAATGTTTCAGAACTGACAACACATGAACAATGTGCATAGTCAAAAGACCTGTTTCAGCATTGAAAGTATTGCAATTGCTCACTGAGTTAGTGGCACTTGGTTTTCAGTTATGAGAGTCATTAGAGAGAAGTTCTTTGTTCTAGACATTTTTTGCACAAGTGAAAAATATGCTGTAAGAAAATTCAGTGGGGATGTAGCAAAGAGAAGAAAGATTGCTGACTAGATTAATTAGGACCTTTGAGTTAATTCTGTTGTGGAATGCCATGCAGTACTGTGTGCAAACGCAGTAACACAGAACGCCTCAAGTCATGTGACAGTTTACTGGGTAGGCTGAGAAACGTTACTCTTCATTAGCCTGTTTCCTGCTTTTCTGCTTCTTTTCAAACCTGCATTTTAATAAAGTACTGCAAGTTTGCCTCTGGCTCAGGACTGTGTCAGCCAGATGCTGCTAATAGCGTCACCTGGCAGGTAGCTCTCAAAGTCAGAGAGCAAGTGGATTTGTGCAGCAAACAGACCTATGTGCATCTCCCTTCTACTGTACATAAATGATATGACTGCAGCTTTGTCACATTGTCTGGTACAAGGGGAAAGTACCAGTACAGGTCTGGCACAATGGACGTGATGAAGAAGGGATGATCCAAGCGAGGACATGTACCTTTAGGTAACTTCCCTGTGCTCTTACTCGCATTCTCTCCTCTGCATTCATGCTGAAGCTCCCTCTGCCCTAGAAATAATACAAAGCTAAATGTAACTTGAAAATGAAGCTGATATATAGGTTTTAAATAAGGTATAAATTACCTTGAAGAAATACAAATATTAAACAGATGTGTGAGACCGTAAGTATCCTTTCCAATGTTTAGGTCCTGTAACAAATACATAAGTTCATGAAAATAAGGTAAAAGGAAAACAAACAAACAAAAAACTTTAAACCAGCTATATCAGCTAAATACGGTACATTTTTTCATACATTACTTGAATAATTTTGCATAAATACCTTATTAAGATTGTGTAGATGGTAGCAGTATATACAACTTAGGTGTATTTTATCAAAAATTTTAATAATGTTGTTATTTAAATAATAACATGAAGATTTTATTCTTAGATGTCAGGACGTGCTGGAAGACGGGGACATGATATGATTGGAAATGTGTTCTTCTATGATATACCACTGCCCAAAATTGAAAGACTTATCAAATCAAACGTACCTCAACTGAAAGGCCAGTTCCCTCTGACTATTACCTTAATACTGAGACTCATGCTGTTGGCTGCGAAGGCTGATGACAAAGCAGATGCCAGTGCAAAGGTTTAATATTTTTTTTGTAGTATAATTTAATTAATTCTTACTTGGTTTAATTGAACAATATCTCCTTAACATGAGTTATGCATTTCAAAACTAAGCAATCTGTCTCCAAATGAAATCTCATATGCTTCTATACAGTATCTAGTACCTGTAACATCTTCTCTGATGTATTGCCCTGTCCGTTTTCATGCATTTATTCTTTGCAATAAAAATTATTATCCAACAGAATGCTACTATCAGGAAGGTATTTTTACTCTGACTGTTGTATACAATTTTTGCATTAACTTGGAGAATCACAAAATCTTAAAACTTAAATTTATTTAAAATTTCAGCTTTATTTGAGGAAAAGATGTGAACATATCTTTCTGTAGAGAAGAGGGAGCTATGAATTCCTTTCTCAACTGAAACAAAGTGAAAATGCCACATATTACTTGCTTGTTGAAATCAGCACACAATCCATCAGCATGAAATCCATCATCTCTGGAATCAAAAATTTTTATTCTTGCCACTTAATGTAGTGACTTAAGTAAATTAAGTAAACAGTCCATGATTATGATTACAAACTTCTCAGGGATCTCCTCTTGTAATTATTCAGAAACTTACATCCAGCTGATCTGTTTCTCTAGATCCATTCCAGCATATAGACATTTTTAAGGACTCAAGGAATTCAGACATAAACGCGGTCAACTTTTTAAGATAATAAAGTAAATTGGTAAACTGTGTTAAATATTTAAAATGATATTAAAGTGTAAGGAATCATTTAATGGTTAGTTTAATGATGCAAATTTAATAGGTTTTAATTTAATGATGCAAACTTTTATTTAAATCCTTTTCCTATAGAATTTCATGTAATAAGTATATGAATAAGTATATGAATTTTATGTAATCATCTTTACAAACCTCAGCATAAGTTTAGAAAATTAACATATACTTGACAGACAGAGAATGTACATTTTCACAAGCACTTCCAAGAATTAGGCTTTCAATTTAAATAAATAAATAACAAAAATCCAACAGTACCTCCAACCTGACATTTTTAGCCTGAAAAGTGATTGATCAAATAAAGCATAAAAGCTGATTTTTGAATTTGTTTGTTTGTTCCAATACAGACATTCCCTTGCGTTTCTAATCTTTTTTTTTTTTTGTTTGTTTGTTTCATCAGGCATTGTCAGTGTTGAAGCACTCACTGATGACTTTCAAAAATGAAAGACATGCTGAAATATTAAAAATTTATTTTATGTTTTCCTTGCAGTTTCTAATCAAAGAGGTATGTTTTTAACTCATTCAGAATGTTTGTCTGTAAATACAGGTTTGCTTATGCGCAGATTCTGAAAACATGTTAAGAACTCCTGTTTGTGTTAGTGCTCTTTCATTTAAGAACCATGTATTTTGTATTACATAGATATAGGCTATTTCTGCTGGAAACAACAAAACAGATTAAATTAAGGTTCTTTAAGTCCAGGGTTAATTCTGAGTTTATGCGATAAACTGGGAAAGTCTCATGGTATGGTTTATATGATCGCACATTGATCAGGAGAATAAGAGTTGTGCATTTATATTGCTTATACAGATATTTGAAATATACACAGATGTGAAATGTTAGAGGTTTAAAATATAATACGAATAACATAATTTCCAAAATGCTGGGAGGAAATTATACCTCTAACAAAAATTTAGGAAATAGCTCCTAGGGAAAATCGAAAATTTATTTTGTATCTCTCCATTGTAATAATTCCAATTTAACGGATACCATTTTGGATTTTTTTTTTTTTTTTTTTTTTTTTGGTGCGTAACATCCTTTTTAGCTTATAGGCCAGGCCTACAGACAGGAAGAAGCATAAATAATGTGATTACATTTATGAATCATCTGAGTCCAGTTTTCCCAGCATTGCTTCCAGTTAGGAGCCCAGTGATTCTGCTCTGCCTCTGATGAGCGTCCCCTATGTGTGAAACCTGAACAATCCCATTGAAGAGAAACCCCATCTTCAAGTCAGTTTAAGGGTGAGATTAGTGATAATTCCAAAAAGTTACAGTTAGTTTAAGAACTGGTCAAAACAGGCCGATGTACCTTATATGCTGTCTCTAATATCTTTCTTAAGGAAGAGCATTAAAAAAAGCAACTATAGAGAGTGATGGTTATCTTGGTACTCCCTACTTTCTTCCAGGGTGTGATGCAGAGTGTTCTCTGCCAGGACAGGTGTCATGGATGTCATGGAATTTATAGCCTTTGATAGAGTTTTATTCGCTGAGTTTGTGTGCTTTTATCCCATTGAACAGTTGGATTTTCTTTTTTTGAATGAAAGTTGTATCAAATCTTTCTTTGGTAACTGTATGCATTGTGATTTGCAACATGGTCTAAATGGGCACTAAAGCTATGAAGTCAGTAATTATGCTTTGCACCAGGAGATGAAGATTTCCCATGGAAATTCTCAAATAGTTGGTGTCTTCTTTTTTCAGTATTGACAAAGTTTTGGCTTTCATGGGGAACTGAGTAGGTACCTATGCATTGGGTTGAAGGACTATTCCTTTGAGTTGCCACTATTTTATATTTTTGTCAAATGCAAGCTCATCTTTCACAACTAAGCTTATTTTGCTTTTCAATTAAATAGGGCTACTTGGATCAAGAAGGTAACCCCGTAGGATTTGCTGGACTTGTGACTCACTTACACTATCATGAACCTTCAAATTTTGTCTTAGTGAGTTTTCTTGTGAAAGGTTTATTCCACAAATTGTGCCAGCCAATTAAAGGTAAATAATATGCCATGCATCCTAAGTCTGTGGCAGCCTCTGTAACCCCAATGGTTCTAAAATTCTCTGCTAGCCTTCATCCCCATTTCGCTGGTCTGTGCCTATACACACTCTTCAAGTGCTTGTGTTTTGTCTGAGAAAACCAACACGCACATGGCAATACTAATACCATGAACCTAAATGTACTGTTTATGAAAAATTATGAGATAAAAAGAATGCTGTAAATAGAAAAGTCCATTTGATCTGGAAAAACTAATAATTATGACTGCAGAGCAAGATTTGAATGCCATGTGGTAAATAAGATGGATGACCACTCTGAATATCAACAAGTTAACAAAAGTACTACTACTACTGTCATATTACATGAGTAAAATCCATTTTGTGCAGATAAGCTGAAGTACGTAAACAAATGCAAAACTATGTTGGATAGTGTTGTTATAATCTCTCCTGACAATAGCAGCTGGAAGTTATTTTAAGCAAAATGCTTTTGGTAAACTTTCATATTTAACCTATGTGCCTACTGTTTTGACAGGCTCAAATGACTTTTCAGATGATGTCCTGGAAAAGCTAGTGCTTATTCTAGCAAATCTGTTTGGGCAGAAGTATCTTCCGGCCCGCTCAATGACATTGAGACACAAATTTTACCAATCCAAGGTAGATAAATGATTGGTCTTTATTGTAGCTTATGTTGTGTACCACCTCAATGAATATGTTTCAATTTGTTGGCTAGTGTGTTTTCACTGCGGATGTCTGGTAGGTGAGCAGCTAGCTATACTTTCTGGATTAGGGCAAAGGTGCCTTGATACAACCATAGAAGTAGCAATTGTGTGTCACGTTAAATGAAAAGTACTGAATTATTCAAGAATTATTTAAAGATGTTGTGTTACTGTCATATTTCAAAATCTAAAGTTATGGACAACACACTGTCTCTTTATACAATACAACCCAACTATATTTTTTGCCATATGGGAATTTACTTTATTCTCCTCACTGTAATATAATTTTGTCTTTTTCTAAGGAGCTGTAGCTTTTTCTGCCAGGTACCAAAGACTCGTAAGGACACCAACATGCTCTCTGCAGTGCATGGCACCGTAGGCTTAGGGCTATCATATTCCAACAGCAGGATAGTATTGCTAAGATGAGCATTAATATTAGCTGTGCACTAAGTTAACCCACCATTGGTATGGGCAGAAAGTGAATCACTTGTAACATATTCTTATTGTCTCTTTCATGCAAACCCTTAAAGCTTTGTTAGACACAGCTGTGAAGAACAAAGGAATTTTTTTTCCATCTGAAGATGCTTTTTTGTCCAGTTTCCAGGAAGCATTTGAAGAAAAAATATCACAAATTTCTGAAAAGTGGCCAGTCACATAAGAGGGATTACTGCACTACTGTGGCTAATGGCAGCAAAATACCAGGGTCTGTCATGTTGGCAGGGAACCTTTTCAACACTGAGATATGCAAAACGAGAGCTGGGAAAGGCAACACTCCAAAAGTCCCCTTTTAGTTAACTAATCATTAAATAATAAAGCTGAGTTCTCTGCAATTCTAGGAGTTTTATACTTTCTCCATGTCTTTTCTGCATGAAATTGATGTTTGTATTTCTTTAAGATCCATGAATCAGAATTCAGTCAAACAGACTGACAAATTGGGTTAAATTTGGAGCTGTAGTCCTCTGTCAACTACTGCTCTGTCTGTGTACTAATACCTTATGTATGCACCCCTGTAGAACTTACACTTCTGGAGAAATTACCCAAATTAAACAATAAACGGCATGTTATTTCAGGTCTTCCTAGAAGATCTGCCAGAAGACTTTGCAGATGCTGTAAATGAGTACAACACCAAAGTTGCGGAAAATTTTGCTCATTTTCTTCTGACAACTGCCAAACTGGCAGATAAGGAACAAGAATACAGACTTCCACTGTCAAAGACAGGTAGGAAGTTCGGGGGGGGGGGGGGGGGGGGGAGGTAGCATAGTCGTCATTTATGAAATTGAGTATATTAGGAAAGGTGTTTTTTTGGTAAAGGAGAAAAAGTGAATTCAGATATGTTAATAAAGAGATAAAGTTTCTATTTTACTTTTGTTTTACAAATGTTGTATACAATATAGAAGTTGTGTACAGGAAAAGGATCACTTTAGTTGGTATTTTTTTATGAATTTATAGTGGAAATAAGGGGAATAATTTTTAAAGAATTTGAAGTTTTTTTTTTTTTATTAAAAGCCTTTTTAAATATAATTATGAAGACATTTGTAGATGCCTGTGATATGTGAATTGCTTTCAGTCTTAAAAAGGTTAGATTTTCAGTATCTGAACAGCCCTAAGACTGAATTAACAGTTAAAGAACATTGTACCATGTGTTAAATCAATTAAATTACTTATGCCAATAGATGCTGTCCAGCGACCAGAGCAGTATGAGAAGATATTAGTATAAAATTACCAAGTGACATGAATTTTAACTGGGAGAAAAATATGTAACTATTACGTATAGTTACTTCCTGGACAGAAGATGTAAAAGCAATGCAATATACCACTATTGCCTACATCCTCTAAAAACAACACAACTTCAAACATATTTTTTCAGTAAGGAAGCATTTAGAATATATCAGATAACTCTATTTATTCCTCATTTTTTCCTACCTTGGTACAGTTATTTATTTAGTGCGCAAAAAATAAAAAAAAGCAGTTATCTTACAAGCTACCACATAAACAAGGTAAATCCAAAACAAGACAGAGTACTATATAGAAGATTGAATACTACGTAGCTTGGTGGTAAATAACATTTTCCATTTTTGTGCTTTGTTCTTCAATAGACAGCACTAGTAAGTGCTGCATGATGGTATCATGTAAGCAACACTATAGCAAAACCTTGCTTTTTCATTTTCGATTTAAGATTGCTTATTTTAACAATAGGGAGACCCCACACCTTGATACATTATCTGAACAAAAAGGAAATTAAAAGCTGTAAATCACAGAATGATGGTGTTCCAAATCAAGAGGAAAGCATAAGTACATGGACTGCCTTGCATTTTCAGGAGACAAATTCTTTTATATATGTTCGTATTACAAGTGCTAATTTTATCCAGGATGTGAACCATAGAAATTGAATTTCCTCCTCTAATTTAATGGTAAAGTTTCTTATTAAAATGAAAGATATAACATTCAGGCTGGGTTGTATTCTCCTCATTTTTTAAAACTGTTTTGAAAGAAACAAATACATTGCATTAGATTCACAGAAAAAGTAATGCAAGATCAAAGAAATGGTGGTATAGACATATGGACTTGCACCAACTTTGGGGTGAGGCTGTGAAAAAACATGTAAAATTGCTGTGATTTTCTATGAATCACAGAGTGTAGCTACAGCATACTTACCATTACACAAAACAGAACTTGTTGCAGTGTAAGGATTAAAAGTATTGCTAACAACTTCGAAAGAAAGAAAAAGTTTTTACTTAGGAAAACAAACAAACAAAACCACCTAGAACTACATTAAAAACAAACAAAAACAAAACAACACAAAAAAATCAAAACAAAACAACAAAAAAAACAGTCAGATCTTCTGCTATCGATTGCTATTATAGGCAGGCCACAAGCCATCTGAAATGCCATGCTGTTGTAAACACAAATTTGTACGGAGTTGCATAAAGCAGAGTTCTTGTTAAGCCCGAATGTGGCCTCAGTTGAGTACACATTCTTTAGATCACCATGCTTCATGGAAAATATTGGCTGGTAATCCAGAAGATAGCAGCTAAATCTATTATGGGTCTCTATTAAGACCTCTGAATACAAGTTGAAAAAACTGTTCTTCAATGCAGGATATAAAGTAAGTCTTCTGATACTAGCATTCCATTGTTTTTGGCACAGCTGTATGGTGTTAGCTATTTTGCCTATGGATGAGTTGAGGAGAACAGTTTAAGTCACAAAGATGTTTAGATTTCATTACACTCACCACTAGTAAGCTTTTTCCTGCATATTATGATCAGTCACTTAAAAGCTCTTAACAGAAGAAAGAAATCTGTCATGAAGGATTTAAGTTTAGATTAGCTGTATTTCCTATCGTCTAACCACACTGAAAATCTCTTCTAAAATTCATTGCGGGAAGGCATCATGTGTCTGTATTATAGCTTATGTTATATTTCAATCTTCCCATCTAGATTTTACAACTAAAAAATGGCATGGCTCTGAACTAGCATCTTATTTGATGGACAACACCAAACGCATATCTGCTATCTCACCCTTTGCGTGTTTATCTGGAATGGTTGACGATGATCTATTTCATGCAGAGAATGTTAATAAAGTAAGTTACTTTTAATGAGGGGTAGAAATTTATTACAGTCTAATAAAAATAGTTACTACAATCTTCTTGCCTCTGTCTGACATGTAGGAAATATATATATTTCCAGTATACTCAAGTGTTTCTCTTTAGGAGAAACAAATGGAAAAGTCTCAAAAAAGAGTGAGCAGCACCAAATTGTCATAGTGCAAAACATGGAATAGGTAGCTGTAGAAAAAAAATCCATAAATAGTTTGCTTTCTTGCAAGAGTCTGATTCCTTTTGGCTCTCAGGTAAATTGCTCTAAAATTATTTGAATTATTGATTTGAAGCTACTTAGCTTCACAGATTGCTTTTCTTCACCTTTTTTTTTTTTTTTTTTTTTTTTTTAAAGTCAATCACACAGTAGTCTCAGGGATCCTACTAAAGGTATGCATTATTGCATTGATAATTTCCACCTTTACTAGGAGTTCAGTGATTGTTATCTAACATGAATTAGGTAAGCTGTAATAGAAGTTGGTATGTTTACTGTTAGCTTGCATTTTGCTGTTACCTTCTACATGGGTTTTGTAGCATTAGGGCATTACCACATAATGAATAATTAGGAAAAAAAATAGAAAAATCAAGTTATCGAAACTGGGAAGTGTGCTATGCATAAGCTTGATACATTCAAAGTATCAGCAGGAGGGTGTGAATACATGACCTGTACATACGGCAAAGTCTTTGTCTAAAACTCATGAGTAAACAAGTGGCCTAGTTAAATTATATTTATTTTTTATTTTTTGTATTTTTATATTTTTATTATTTATTGTAATTACGAGCATCCTAGAGCAGCAAAAGCCACTTCAGCAAATTATCTTGTGTCTACAGCCTACCTCTACTTGTGCAGAGTTTTTGAGTGGCCCAGTATTAGAAGTATGGAACTTGTCAGCTGTGTGGCTGAAGCTGCAAGTTTTAACACAACAGATGCAGCAACAAAAACACAATAGTTACTCAGCACTTTTTTTTTCCTTTTTCTGTTTAGGCAGTGCTACGTTCCCTTGGAATTAATGTCAAAAACTGCCCTATGCTTCACTTGAAGAAGTATGATAATCAAGGACGACGCCTGCCACTCAATGCATATGCACTGGACTTTTATAAGCATGGTTCCTTGACTGCCTTGACAACTGATAACTGGTACGGACTACCAGCTTTAGTGAAGCTACATAGTAGTGTTGTTTTCCATATGGTACATGATGGTACATGAACATATCTTTTTGTCTTTAAAGCTTTCTCCTTCCAGAATGTAGGGACTGAATTAACCATATGGTCCCATATGGTCCCAGCCAGCATGGGTTTGTGAAGGGTAGGTCCTGCCTAACTAACCTGATTTCCTTTTATGATAAGATCACCCATATGGTGGACCAAGGGAAACCAGCTGATGTGATTTTTTTGGACTTCAGCAAGGCTTTTGACACGGTTTCCCATAGGATCCTACTGGACAAAATGTCCACCATACAGCTAAATAAAAACATCATACGATGGGTGAGCAGTTGGCTAACGGGCAGGGCCCAAAGGGTTATGGTAAATGGGGCTGCGCCAGGCTGGCGGGTGGTCACCAGTGGGGTCCCTCAAGGCTCCATTTTTGGGCCGGTACTTTTCAATATTTTTATAAACGATCTGGATGTAGGAATAGAAGGTATTTTGAGCAAGTTTGCTGATGACACCAAACTTGGAGGAGTTGTGGACTCGAATGAGGGTGGAAAGGCCTTGCAGAGGGATCTGGATAGGTTGGAGAGCTGGGCGATCGCCAACCGCATGAAGTTCAATAAGAGCAACTGCCGGGTCCTGCACCTGGGACGGGGAAACCCTGGCTGCACGTACAGACTGGGTGATGAGACGCTGGAGAGCAGCCTAGAAGAGAGGGATCTGGGGGTCGTGGTAGACAGCAAGTTGAATATGAGCCGGCAGTGTGCCCTGGCAGCCAGGAGGGCCAACCGTGTCCTGGGGTGCATCAAGCACGGCATCGCTAGTAGGTCGAGGGAGGTGATTGTCCCACTCTACTCTGTGCTGGTGCAGCCCCACCTCGAGTACTGTGTGCAGTTCTGGGCACCACAGTATAAAAAGGACATGAAACTGTTGGAGAGTGTCCAGAGGAGGGCTACGAAGATGGTGAAAGGCCTGGAGGGGAAGACGTACGAGGAACGGCTGAGGGCACTGGGCCTGTTCAGCCTGGAGAAGAGGAGGCTGAGGGGAGACCTCATCGCAGTCTACAACTTCCTCGTAAGGGGGTGTCGAGAGGCAGGAGACCTTTTCTCCATTAACACCAGCGACAGGACCCGCGGGAACGAGGTTAAGCTGAGGCAGGGGAAGTTTAGGCTTGACATCAGGAGGGGGTTCTTCACAGAGAGAGTGGTTGCACACTGGAACAGGCTCCCCAGGGAAGTGGTCACTGCACCGAGCCTGTCTGAATTTAAGAAGAGATTGGACTGTGCACTTAGTCACATGGTCTGAACTTTTGGGTAGACCTGTGCGGTGTCAAGAGTTGGACTTGATGATCCTTAAGGGTCCCTTCCAACTCAGGATATTCTATGATTCTATATGTTAAGTATTATTAAAATGGAATGTCATAATGAGTACAAAACATATACTGCATTAACGTCCTGTGGCAATGGCTATAAAGCATTAGCTGGATTTTCAAAACAGTACTGTAAATGTGAAGTCTTGACTTTAATGACAGATCATTCTGAGATTGTGCCGAAGTTTGACCAAACTACTTCTTGTTGCTTACTGCTTCAAAAATATAAACTCAAAAAAAAAAAAAGTGGTAACAATGACAACACATCTCATTTGGAAGGTGCATCTCTTTGCATTATATTGTCCAATAATTTTATCTCTTCTCTTTATAAAACTTTTAGCTTGGCCTTAATCAAGCAATTCACAAGAGTTTTATTCCCAAAAGATCAGTCACAAGCTCACTCTCCCCACTACTCTATCAACTATCTTTGTTTTACCTTCATCCTCAGCACTTTTATACATGAATAACAAAATACCATCTCTTTCTGCTCCCTGAGGTAGATGGGACAATTTTATATCCGCTTTTTTGTAAGCTCTTCAAAGAAAAATCTGGTGTAAACAGTTAGAACATACATTCCATGAACTGTTCACAGAATCACAGAATTGTAAGGGTTAGAAGGGACCTCAAGAGATAATCGTGTCCAACTCCTCTGCCAAAGCAGGTTTTCTAGAACAGGTAGTAGTTCCTAGTGAAATAGCAAAGTTTGGCATGAATGCTGCATTGTCAAGACACAAGGAAATATGCTCCTTATTTGTAATATAATACTGACTACAATTTTATGTCTTAAAAATTAGTGGTATTTTTAACGATTGGGAATTGAGATTTATTAAGCTGCAGCCCACTAATTACCCATTGTCTTTGCAAAGTACAGGATCTTAGCTATCTGTAGAAAACTACCCTCCTATGTCTCCTACTCCATTTAGCCAACAATTTCATCTGAAGCACAGCCTTACCGTTTAGCTTAGTTATTCAAAGAGCTAAAACATGTTAGCAGTATTAATGCATTTCTTTTCCAAATACAAATCATGAGTCATGTAATTTTAACATAATTACAGAAACATGTATCTCCATAGTATTATTAATTATATTCTAAGCTTTTAGTTATTCTACAGTAATCCCTAGTTGTATCAGAGTTTGAGGCCATAGAATATGCTCTTTGAATCCTTACATAGCCTACATGGCAAGCTTTAACAGTTAAACAGTACCATAACTATTTATTTATTTATTATTTTTTAGGTTAAACGAAGGAGAAGCTTACTACCTGCTCAAGGATTTTTTACTCGTCATTAAGTCTATAGGGTATGATCAACATCTGCTTTTTTAATATTCAATATATTTAAGAAATAAAATGAAATAATGCTTTTTTTTTTAATTATTTTTTTTAACAGAGTATCACTGAGTGAACTATGTGATGATCCAAATGATAACGTTCTACTGGCATTTCAAAAACTAGGAGAAAACTACGATAAAAAACTGGCTGCCGTCTAGTTCTTCTGGGTAATCTGGATAATCAAGAGTATGTTAACCGAAAAACAAGACACCACCACCAAAAACAAACAAACCCACAGACCTGAAAGCCAGCAGTACATCATACTCTTACCACACCTATGATTAACTGCCTTTTACATTAGGAAGTGACTGAGTTCTCAAATACGTTTCAAAATAAAACCTCAGTAATATCCAGTTTTAGTAATACAAAGTTTACTATGCAAAATCTTGATATTTTAGCTGTTGTAAGACAAACTTATTGTTTTTAATAGACTGTGAAAGTAGATAATAGTATATTTTTCTATTTTAGATTTTTTTTTTTCCAAGAAGTGATTTATGTTAAGACAACTCTCAAATATACTTAGTAAATATAATCAAAGATAATCTCAGGGACTAATTGCATATAGGACAACATTGGAAACTTTCAATGCATTACTTCAGCAATTAAATTGTTCTAAATATTTTTCCAAGGTTGCTGTTTTATTATGTAGCACCTTCCTGAACTTTTATGAAAGCTCTTAACTCATTCTGCAGTTTTAGCCTACAAAACTTGATGTGTAAAGAAGGTTTGTATAAAAACGAAGTTTGCTTAATAAAATTTTGCAACCATACATAGAATTGCCTCATTTTTCACCTGTTGTAGCCTTGAATTAGAAAGACCAAAGGCTACACCTTAGTGTAGTACTTGTCAAAATTCCTTGCAACACCGACTAAAATGTTTTCTATTTCCTTGTTTTTTCTTCTGAAAAAGTAATATAGTAGTATTTTCATACATTGACAATTCTTCAGTCTAACCACACATTTGTCTACTTTTAGTCTAAATATATATACACTAACATAATGCTTAGATAACCTAGGAAAACTGGGCTTTGACAGCATCTCTCATTGCCAAACACAACTTTATGACAATCAAGAAAGTGGGGAAAGTTATTTTAGTAAGTAAAACATGCATTAAAGTCAATGCAGAATTCCCTTGCTTTGAATTAGCTCTGGTGCACATCAACTGATCACAGATGATTTTTTTTTTTGACTTGTGATCTCTGTGAACAGCATTAAACTACTAAGTACAATGTGTTGCTGAGAGATGCAGTGGAAAAAAAAAAAAGCACATGTAGCTAGGTACGGCTGCCAAGCTAACATCAACAGATTAAACTTTTTTTAAATGTGTGAAATAAAGTTAGGATTAAAATAGAACATAGTGGTAGAAGATACTGTTTTAACTCTGTGTGGAAAATAAAATTTACTCCATTTGTTCTTTACTATCTGGCAAATCATGCCTATATAGACATTTAGTCTATAGACACCCATCTTGCACAACTATTATAGAAGTGACCTTACTTAGACCTTACCATGTTCATGCTTCCCGGTGGAGTAGTCTTTCTAGTTACCACACAATTCATTGTGTGATATTCAATGATATTCATTTCATTTTTAATTGTGTATGTAAAAAGCACCTCATTCCTTTTATAACTGAGTTACTTTTTGTAAATATAGCATTTCACAAGTGTAGCCAATACCCTTACACCCTGTATACCAAGAACATTGCAAGAATATTTTCAATTTCCAGTGTGTAAAAGAAACTAAACTAGGAGTTGTAACTTAAATATCCATTAAATACAGCACAGAAAAAGAATACAGTCAAAGGGAGCTCAAAGAAGATTTTCAGTAATGTCCTTTATTTTCACCATGGCTCATCTTCCATGCTTACCAGAACAATTTTGTCGATACTCCCTTACTAACACAACCCTAGTGCAAGTGCTGTTGTACTAAAGCAGCAACATTCTGCTTCGTGTTGCTGAGGCTTCACTGTGCCTGCCTTCTGGGACACCTTAAACCCCTACTACCCACACATACACCAGTAGCACTTCCTGGAAGGTCTTCATTCTTAATGATGTAAGATGTGTGGTCATATTTAACTGAAAATGTCTTGTTAAAGACTTCATCTTCAGTTTGGATTGTGCTACAAAAAATACTTTAGTATATGGTACTTGCTGATACTCAAGTATGTTTCTACTGGATACCTTAAATCGCAAGATTCACACAGGACAAAGTTGTAAAATCACAAGTATCTGCGCTGTAGTGTTTATTTAATTCTGTCTTTAACATAGCTGTGTTCCATTTCACACTCTCTTCATGCCTCTGATTTTCTTCTAGTAGGTATCTTGTCTTCTGCAACAGAAAAATATTCTGATACACTGCTGGTATCACTAGACACAGACGTTTGACTTAGCGCTTCAGTGTCAGAATCACTGTCACTCAGCATTCCTCCAGACTCATTTACTGTAAGTACAGAAGCTCTTGAAACTGAATCATTGCACATGCCCGGAGCAGAACAAGCTGCATTCTGAAGCATTCTGGACTTAAGTTCATCTTCCCTCCCAGGAATAGAGCAGTTGTTTTCAGCAATACTTCCTTGATCTTTTACCTTTACTTCCTGTTGTGTTGAAGTAATGGTCAGGTGATCAGATGATGCATTCTCATCTTTAGCAGGAAGGACAGCTGAACATAAAAGTGGACTACAAGAAGAATTACTATCAGCAAGTATTTCTGCACTTTCTATTTTCTTAGATGAGCCCATTGGAAAAGAACCTTCATCTTTTGGGTGACTGTGTCTAGATGCAGTCTCTGTACACTCTGGAGATGCAGACTTTACTAGATTTGGAGGTGTTTTGTCAACAGGTTTCATCTTCTCTTGTTCACTTTTTTCAGTACCATTGCTAGACAAAAAAATGGAGGAGGAAGTCAGTGAATCAGTTGTATTTTTAACAATACTTCCAAATGAAAACACTGGTGATGGCAACTGAAAACAGTTATTTTTGAAGGAAAATACACACGTGCTGGGGAGAAGGGAAGACTCTGAGACATCATCCACCCCAGCTGCAATGCCGGTTTCTGAAGTACTGCAAGGTGCTGTTGTGATGGATTCTGATGCATTAGCTTTTTGCTCCACTGAGACAGATGGTTTCAGCGTATCATTTTCTACAGTTTTCTTTGGAGAAAATGCATTTTCTACCATGTGAGATAATGTATTTTGGTCAGCTGGCTTCTCTGATTGGTTAGAAAATGAGGATAATGGTAAAATCTTGGATGAATTGCTGACTCCTGATACTGCAGAACAATCTCTTTCTGAATGGTCAAAGGGAAATGAAAAACAAGTTTTCTTATTTTCTGCTAATTCTACATTACAACTGTTTGAAGCATCAGAAACTGTGGTTTTAGTTACAGAACTATGTTTTCCGAATTTGTTTCCACCCTGGTTAACTGCTTTAGCTTCACGATCACATTTCCCTAGATAAAATTTAGGGAAAACATATTTACTGGCTTCCTTTTTAAAAGAAAATGTAGCTGCATCTTTAGTAACTCTGGGTAGTGAGTTGCTACATGCACCAAAAGCAAAGGGTGAAGCAGAAGGTCTTTCTGCAGAAACATCTAAAAATTCTGAATTTGAAACAGTAACAGCTACTGACGCTGCTACGCCTCCCAGAATGCTAGAATTTGTGTCCACTCCATTCGAAACAGTAACTGCTGATGACTGCATTGGCATTTTTTCTCTCATTAATAAATCTTTAGTGTTTTCTGATAAGGCTGGAGTGGTTGTTTCCTCAGAACCTCTTTCATGAACTAAGCTTAAGTTACCATTTTTTTCAGAAAAGTTAGTAGCGGTGTATGGGATCCTATGATTACCGGTTCCAAAAAAGTTTAACTCATCAAAACCACCTTCTTTTTGCAGGATTCCCATATTCACTCCATTTGTGTTATTTGCTGTGGTAGGTAAAGATACAGAAGGAATTCCTGAGGACTTATCCTTCAAAGCCTCAGCAGCCACAAATTTATGTTTCTTATTTGCAGGTAAAGTTTGTGTCTTGAACTCATCAGCAAGTTTCTGACGTTCCATGTAGTATTTATAACGTAGCTCCTACAATTATAGGAAAGAATCTAGTTATTAAGCCAGATAGAGCATTTGTGAATTCAGAGGTGATAAAACTCTTAAAATTAAAGAAAATTTATTGTATATTCTATAATATGCATTTATGTTGTATTTTTCTTTTGCTGCTAGATAAAAGGCAAAAAAGCAAGTTATGGAATAAATTCTTTAAAAACAATTGAATGAGACACATATAGAGTCCTGATGACAAAGCATGCATTGCAGTACTAGCAAATGGGAAAAGCTGTATTTAAAGTGACTGAAAAAAACAAGGAATAGCTAATTACACTAGCCTTGACATTGAAAAATTCTCAAATTGTTACAAAAAAGAACCTTTCAAAACTAATTTAGTATTTCACTGGTTATACTTAACCTTATAAGTTGTGTTTGCAATGGGACTAGGTAACATTCTCCAAAATAACAGAAATATTTCTATATTCCAAGGACCTAAACTACTTAACCATCTGCCATCAGCATTCTCACAACATACATTATGTGATTCACTGCCAGCCATGCTTCACTAACCGTAACAAGATTCTTCCTGCAAAGAACAATATTCACTCAGCCACCCACCACATGTAACTGCTTTTAAGTGAGAAAAACGGTAACTTTACTAGCATAGTCAGATTTGCATTCCAGAAATAGACAGGTACCTGTCTACTAGAAAAAAAAAAGACACCAAAAAAAAATAAGACAGTATAAAAGCATATGTAGAAAGTTGTGTCATAACAAATAGTAACTTAAGTCATACTTAAAACAGATATTCAACCATACCTCATGACTCATATTCTGAAACGCTGACATTTCTGATATTGACATTAAGCGAGTACAGATCCTGCCACCGTCTGTCAGTGCTTCCTCTTGTCCTGCTACTGGCTGAAAAATGTTTTGCAGCAGACATTTTATTCCTTTTTTTTTTTTTTTTAATAGGACAAAACAGCAACAACAAAAAATGCAGAGTTGTAGCTACATAGTCAACAACTTACAATAAACATTTTGGGCATATTCTTCTGGTCCTGCCATTGCTTTATAGTATTTTTCGTTGAGTTCTGATTTCCTCCAGAAGGTAGGTCTATTGGAAAGACAAGAAAAAAGAAAACCGTTGGAGAGCGTATTATGTATGGGAAATAACGTAATCATTTTCAAGATAAAATGGTTACAACTTAAAAAAAAAATAAATCAGTTTTTCTAAATCAACAAAATACTGCTTTAATATGAACATTATGCTGTTAAAACAAATATTCTCAAAACTTAAGGAATAACAGAAAATGAAATGTAGGCTGCAGGCACATTCCTGAAGGGTACTACAGGCACTTATTAGTGGACTTCTATTACAAAAAAAAAAAAAATCCCACCAAAAAGCCATGAAACCTGTGCTACGATGAGCCATATGATTATTTTATTCCTGTGTTTACATCCTGAAAAGTTCCTTTGAATCTAAATATAGACTCCAATTAAGAACAAAATAATATTGCCCTAAGTAGGACACAGTATTTGGCTAAACTTATGTAATATAAAGCAGGAGGCCTGCTTACAAGCTTTTCTAAATGCCTGAAGACACCTGCCCTCATGTAAAACATACATGGGGTAAAAGCGTGTGTGCTTAAAAGTATTTAATCACAGCATTCAATCTTCTAGTTCAACAGCCTAGAAATTTGTATTTCTAACATTGGCCATACTGGTTGC